GTCGTGTTCGCAGAATTGTTTGTGCCGTTGGCCTGCAGCACAGATAGCACGGTGCGCCGAGCATTTTTAATGATTCTCACGGCCAACATGGCGATACAAAAGGCAGACAGACCGTGATCTCGCCTTTCTTCCAGCATAAAAAAATAATAACCAGCAACGCAGGCGAGCAAGGAAGAAAGCTACACCCGAAAATCAATTTTTTAAAGATAAAAACGTGGATCCTCCAAATTTCTTCGAACGTGTTTTATTTCTAACAAATTAAATTTGCGACTCGTGACGGGCGGAACACAACGAGGCATAAATCAAATTCGAGTTAAACAAATTGCCCCGATACGGAGGAGTGATGCCGAGCTGCAGATAGATGAATTTTTATGGTTCTCGCCGGCGGATCTAATATTTTCTCTCGTCGATGTGCTTCTGATGATTGACATATTTACAAGGAGAAGCATGTGCAATTTTTATCCAATAGAGATTTATGGCCACGCATTGGGTCTGGAATACACATTCGGGCATGAGCAAAATGGATATTGAACGCTCCACAAACTGACAGGATCTTTCAGCATCTCAGTGGAGTATGTGTATTGTGCTGGGCATCAACATGATTAAATTAACACTGAATGTGTCTACAGTACAAAAAATAATAATAAAAAAGGCACATCAGGAACAATAATAATAGTTTTCAATAATGAGGGAATAAAAAAAATCCGAATAAAAAGTTGATAGTGATTGATCACAAAGAAGTATTTTTAAACAAATGAGACATTATTTTTTCATAAATGCAGCAGGAATGCAGGTGGAGTCATAATTTTAAAGTTAGTGATATCCAGTGCCCCAAGAAAGTGTATGCGAAAGAGTGCTGTAAAATGAACCCTTGTTTCCATTGAATCGATTTCAATGATGGGTATTAGTTGAGAGCAAGATGTAATGAAAAAAATTCAATGTTCATTGTGCTTGAATTGAAATTTGGCTTCTTCCTCAATAGGTTGGTTGGGTCCCTTATTTTTTCGCAGAAAAAAACAATGCCCCACTCTACAAGTTTTGGCTGCAGGAATAATTCATTTTCTTTATTGTCGGAAGAGACTTTGGAAGAGATATATGTAGTGTAAGATTTAAGCAACGCAAGCTGAGTTTTCATGTTTTGCACTTATTATCCGCAGATTATTGTTTTTGTCAAAAATTGAAGGAGACACAGAGCATTACTTGAAGAGCTTTAAAATCTAGAAAAAGAGCTTTAAAAGTAAGTGTAAATGCAGTTTCAACACTGCATATTAAGCGCCGCAAGCTGAGTTTTTATGCTTTGCTCTTATTTTCCGCAGATTATTGTTTTTATTAAAAATTTAACATTATTTATAATTAACTCTTTTGATATATTATCAGCAGTCTAAAATAATTTTTAAAATGAACGAGGGATTTTTCGTTTCTATCGGAAATAAATGTGAATTATTATTAATTACTCTTCTCGGTCAAGACAAAAGAAAAAATTAAATTGGAAAAAGAGGAGAAAGAGTTTAAAACCTAGCAGATGTCTGCTAAAACGCCCGACATCAAAAGAGACTCGGCCGCCGCGGTTAACCCACATGATTATATTATCGCATTTTGAGTCTCTGTGGCCAAAAGTCACTGGAGAAAAACAAGCAGTTTTAATCATGTTTTCACCAATTTTAATTTAATTACTTTGCTACCGACGAAGCTGCCTCTTAAATTCTGGATCTCATTAATCCACGCGCTGATGACTAACTCCTCTTGCCGACGATTAATTGCAATTGCCTGTTATCGACCAAGCCGAAGAATCGCACCGCGAAGGAAGAATTGATTACCGGCGGCGGGAGGGAGCGACGACAATACCGTTCATCTCACTCTTGCTCGGCCGAGTGGCGACGACGTCTTTCATAGCAACACCAATCAGTCAGTGGCAAAACTTGGCTCACACTCGAGTTGCAACGCTGAATGAGACGAGTGTGATTTGAGTGCGGACGAGAAGAGTTGGCCGCCCCCCAGCCTCCTCCGAGAAGTGCGAATTCGGCCGAGGGCGCCAAAACGGATTCGCGCGAAGAAAACACCCGTAAATAAATATAGCGAGTAGCACTCTGCTGAGAATCAACGCAATTGTGCAGCAGAGCAGTTCTCAAGAATTAATTCGCCGCTCACACACACACACACATTCTGCCCCCGAGCCTAACGAGATTTAATTAAACCGTTGAAATTCGAGAGCAGCCGGCTCAGTGATTAATAAGCTGCTGATTAATTGCCAGCTGAATTCGAGCCGCGGCCTGCATTCATAATTACAGCTGCTGGAAGTATAATGAGGGATCATCAAGAAAAAAGTTTAACTCTAAAAATGGAGAGGCTCAAAACTGAGATGCTAAATAATAAGTAACTCTTAATTGTAATTAAAAAAAATATCAATAAAGCGCAATTTTATTTTAAAGAAAATGGTTGACCATTCATTATATTCATTTCCATTCATTTCATTGTAAACTTTATTTTCAATAAACAAATAAACAACAACGTTTCTTAATAATATATTATGGATTTTCATAATGAATATGATCATGACTCTATGCAGATAACAGGGACCTTTGTTAGTTTTGATACGTTACTAATAACAATTTTCCTATTTTTTACCTTTTTTCATGAATAGAATCTTCAATAGAATAAACAGTTTTAAATTTTTTAAATGATTTTTCATCAACTTAGCTCATATTCTGAAAAAAAATTATAATAATAATAATAACAACACCATAACATTTACATTCCATGTTTATACTAAGATTACTCAATTATATCTGAGCAATTTCTTTTGAGTACAATAAAATATGTAATTTTCTTGCCAGTCTAAGTATGGCTGCTGAGGCCTGGAAATTAATAATAAAATTAATTCTATTGGCACACGTTTGACATTTTTCACATAATAGCAAAAAGCGTCTCTGAAACAAATTTACCATTCGTTGACATTCCGTTGCGATACATTTGAAGACGCGCAAGCAGAGTTTACTTGTGTGCGAGTGAGAAGGTGGCAAGTGCGCGTAAGTTTCGATTGGGCAAATATTATCCCAAGAGAAGTCAGCAGCGGAAACCCATCAGTGTGCGTGTGATAGAAAATCGAAGCGGTGCGAAGTGATAAAGAGTGATTGGTCCAATACTCAGCTCGTTCCATTGAATTGTTGGGCAAAGCGAGGAAGAAAAAATAAAACAGTTTTTCCGGTAAAACACTAGGCGGTATTCGTGAACACATCTTGGGCTCATTTTTCGTTCTATTTTAGTTAGTAGATTTACTTGAGGATGGAAAGCACTTAAAACAAGGACATTTTATTGGGCAACAGAAGCTACTTTTTTTAGCAAAAAAGAGTAACAATCAAAAAAGCTTTTATGCTTACTCAAGGCTTAAGTTTGAAAAGTAGAGCGGAGAGACTGCTATTTTTATTGTGATATAGTAAGAAATTCTCCTGTCTTTGTATATTTTTCTCATTAATAATCACTGTGTTTGTATTGAAAGTAGAATTCACAACATTTTGTTAACTTTTTCGCCTACTTATTTTTGAAGCAGTATAATTAATTTGATTCTTTACGAACCCTAACCGGAAGGTTAAGACACATTTATTATCATTATTACATAAATTCATAAAATCTACTTTATTTAAATTAATTTTTTAGATCAATTAAGATTTTACGTGTCATGTATACCAGATGTATACATTAAAAATTTATATAAATTTTTAATAAAATTATTTGTATAATGGAAAATAAAACTAAAGCTTACAAAATATAGAAATAAAATAATTCAATTTATGCGTTTTTTTAAGTAATTTACATTTGTCAGATTGCAAGGTTTCTTAATAATTATAGTTTTAATTATGGTATAATTTTGAATAAACCGATTAATTATGATATAACATATTTATATGCGATAACGTAATTAAAATGTATTTATAATTTTTTCCTGCAACGCGAAATCTACCCTTAGTAAAAAGTTTCTTTTTAACAAGGAAAGCCCTCAGATTTGCAACTCAAGATGAGCTCTCGGTGCCGTGCGCAAAAGAAAGGGCTCGCTGAGTATATAAATATTTCGCAAACTCGTCTCAACGAATTCCAGGTCACCAGCTTCACATACAATAAATATGTAAATCGCGGCGCGGATTTCAACCGAGTTTCGCTGGCAGAGGGGTGGAATTCCTTTAAATTTGTCTTGGTTACTAAATTCAGGCTCGGCAAACTTTGCCACTTCAAACAAATTCAACCGAGATGAGTTTCTTCTAACTTGCAGGAGGAGCAGTTTTCAACCAGAAAATTATTCGTTCAGTTCGAAATTAAAAATCTTCTCGGCGATGGTGAAAAGGAGAAGACGAAATTAATTAGCACCTGCAAAGTGGGTGCTGAATTTTCCAAGGGGGGTGTTAATTAATTAGATTCCGAGCCCAAGACGTGCAAACTGGGCCATAGAAATTCAAAGCGTTGCGGCGGCGATAAGGGTCTTGCCGCGCGTTTGGACTGATTTGGCCATTGCATTGCAATAATGTGCGAGAGAGAGCGCGTGTGGCACGGATAGAAAAGTTGGTCCAACTTTGAGGACGTGGTTGGCATGGCGAAGGACGGCCGCCCTCAACCAACGAGGCCCATTCTGTGTAATCAAATAAAAACACGACGAGACGAGAGTTTTTGCACCAACAACGAGCAGCAATATAAAAAAAAACGACGCCGAGAATTTCAGCAGGAATGCCAGAATGAAACGGGAGCACACTAAACTTCTCGTCTGAGATTTTTGAGACAACTTCTGAAGTGGTCTTGTCTTATATTTTTCATTATTTATATTTAATGTCAAGGCACACGGAAGGTACAAATTATAAAGGCAGATTTAATTTAATTTGTTGCACTTGAAAGGCTTGTTGGTGTTAAAAATAAGTGAATCAAAAATAAAAATTTAACTGAATTTTCTGGCAACAAATCTATAAATAATTGCAAACTTCTGAGGGAGGCATTTTTTATATTGTTGTTTGGCCTACCTTTTTCGCTGGATGATCCACGTGCGCTCGCTGTTGGCAGTTGTCGTTTTTGTCCATATTCTTCGGGGGACCGGACGATATTTTTCCTGTGAACATAATACAAACACGGTAAATTCTGGTGATACGTAATGCGATTGTTTTATTTTTGATCAAACTGGGGAATCAAATGGATGAATGTGCACTTCAGCTCCAAGAAGATGACAGGCGCTGTAAGGCACCACCAAATCTCTTTCAGATGCATTTTATAATTCATTTAAAGACGGCTTTCCTATTTTGAAAATAAAAATTTTCATGAATAATTTTTTAATATAATTAATTCACGTCCTTTAAAACATTAAGCAAAATACTTTTTTCTGCGAATCTGGAAAATTATTTCAAATAAATTTGATAGAGTTTGAAAAAATTAGATCCAATATATAGACAAAAATTAGTTTCATGATGAAATCGACAAATTTTCGGTACATTATTTTTACTCCTTCCATGTATAAGCTAAAAGTTGAACAACTTTGAAAACATACCGCTGCAAAAATAATATCTCGCCATCTCGTTTGAGCATCCAGACTCCTGATGGAATCTCATCCAACTTGGGCTCAAACAAATTTTTTTTCGCCTTTTTTAGTCCGATTGTTTAATTTTTATGCAGATTCCATTGGTATCAATAAAATAAACCCAATAAACATCATCACAAATTCAAGAACATCTGTATAAAGTTAGATTTCATCAAATTTTCAGAATTTTGTTCCAAACACATTTTTTGATTTTTTTAATAAAAAAATCTTATTAAATAAAGTAACTTACACTTGAGACATTTTTAAAAGAATCTGGTGCAGAGAAAGGCAATTGGATCACAAAATTTATTTTCACTCACAATCAGGAGCATTCAGGGGAAAAAGGAACGGCGGCGTACGTTTTCGAATGAATTCCGCGCCACCGGTGTAGCACGGCGAGTGCAAATCACCTGATTGCGTTGATTGCAAAGCTGTCTGTCTCATTCACTCACGTCAGTCGAGAGCCAATTTCAGCTCAAATGCAACTCAATGGCAGCTGCGCTCGGTAAATATGATTAAAAATTTCTGCGAGCGCGATTTTCACGGGCGCGCGCGCAATTTCATTATTTTTATTGTGAGCCGTGCGGATGCGAGGGTGAAAAGTAGCAAAAGCTTAGCTCGCGGCGACGGCCAAGACAAAAGTCTTCATCTGCTGATCGGAGTGAGAGGAACGACTTGGCGACGATGGAAAAGAGAAAATTCAGAGCACTTGCTGCTGCAGCTTTATCTCCGCGCAGAGAAAAGAGGATTTGCTACTTCACGGATTGCTCTCGCGTCACTCACTCGCCCGCTCTACCTGATGATTTCAGGGAGCGGACGCAAATAATGGTAAAATAAATTCTTTTCGCGATATGAACCAACGCCGCTCTTCTCTCCGGAGATTATCTTCGCCGGGCTTAAGTGTCTCTTTGGAGTGCAAAAAAAGGAAGAATGTATATCCAGCTGTATTAAATGCAGACTATGGCCTTTAAAAAATCAATTCAAAAAGTTTAATAAATATTTTGTCAGAAATTCATTAATTATAAAATTGAAATTTTTCAAAAATGAATGAAAGGGAAATGATAATTAATTAAATGAGATGTTGGTGACCATTTTTCTAACTTAAATAAATATGGAATATGAAATTAAATAAATGAATGAAAAATGAATTAGGTAAATGTATGTGATCAAATTCATTTTCAAATCACATCTGTCAGTCACATGTGTGTTCATAAACAGAAATGCTTTTACTTGATATGAAATGAACGTGCTTCATTTCATTACACTTAATTTGGAAAAATAAAAGTTTCATTCTACATCAAGCGTCGAATGCGAGTGCAAGTCATGTGATAAAAAGTGCTCCAAATACTATTGCGTTCTGTGGAAATATATTTCGTTCTCTGAAATTTTACGGCAAAATGAAAAAAAAATTAGGATTGAGCAATTTGTATTGTCTACTTGATATTAATATGCTGTATCAAAGAAATACAATTACCAGAAGTTGAATCAAGATGGGTTTGATGGGTTTAAAAATTAACTTCATGTTTTTTTTAAATGAATAATAAATTTGGTTTGTCAGAAAATTTATTTAAAGTTTTCCAGATATTAAAAAAAAATATGATATAGATTCTTTTGGAATTAGTTTTTTCCTTCTTATAAATCTGTTTTTACCGAGGTTGAAATAATAACTAATAATTAAATTTTAATATTTTTTAATTACTTCATCATCACCCTGTGCATTTAAGCTTTTTTTCTCTTCCTGCTGGTAATGCAAGTGCCACAGAAATGCGCCGTGGAAATTTTACTCTCGCCAAAAACACTTCTGTTTTGCATTTGTCACACATTCACAGTGGAATTTTATTCACAGGTGCAAATGAGGGCGTTGGTGAAAACCGCCTCTGGCATTCCGCTGGCACGTTCGCCACTATCCCATTTGCAGTAATGCTCTCCCTCTCTGGTCCCAAGTTTGTCGAGATTGTGTGTGGACAAGGCGACTTTTATTGCACTTTATTCAAACAAAGTGTACATGCACGCGCGTCTGGTCGGCTCAAGAGTAGAAAAGAGCTGGACAATAAAAGACACTAGCGCGCTTTGCATTATCTGGGTCAGCGGACTCTGGACGCGCAAACCCACACACGCTTTGCAATACTGCTCTAATGGAAACATGGACATCCTACCTCTCAACGTCGATGGACCTCGGCCAAAGAGTAAAGCGAGTGCACTAAAATCGCAACAAGGCGCTTGATGCATCAGTAAAATTTCAACTTGATTGCAAAACCACTTTGATCGCAAGTTGCAAGAGATTAAAATTGTGTACAAAGTTGTTTCTTTAAGGGAAAAAAATTGATTATACCTTGATTCACAGAACAATTCAATTATCACGGGTTAATTCAATCAAGGTAATTTTTCATTACTGGTTTTTTTACTCGTTTATTGTTTCATAAAAAGGAAATGGAATATTACATTTTATAAAAATTAGATGAAACAATAAACGTCTTAAAAACCCATTAAGCAAAAGCTAATCTCATATATTTAATTCCCCTCAAAGTTTGTTATTCAACAAATAAAATTAAATTTGATATAATTGGTTTTGGTCTCTTAAGACTCTCATTCTATTCACTAATGTGAATAGAATGAGAGTAATAATTTACTGTTCATGAATATGAATATTAGAAAAACTTTTCCTATATGTAAATTAAAGAACGCCATTTAATTAGTTTAATTTTAATATGTAATTTATTGAAATGAACGCCGTAGGCATGCCACAAATTAACTCTAACAATATAACCTCCCAATTCACTTGGCTTTACAGTTTGCTGCTTCACGCAGACTCATTTTCTCTTTTACACAATCTATTATATGATACTGTGAACAAACTCCACCACAAAATTTACAGATACAATTTTCCAATGCTTCGCAGTGATATGTACTGTTTGTACAAAACAAAAAGTGAAAACCATGACACGCGTATCTGGTGAAAACATGTCTATCCTTAAATTGCGCCGCCTTCCAGTTTTCTTTAATCATCGTCTCCGTACCATAAAATTCATCACAAATATTTAATTTCTTCAGCAATTGTTCATAACAAAAAGTTTCAAATGCATTGTTCACTGGAAGGACAAATTTTTCTTTTAAATCAGAAATAAATAAATCGGTATCGACAAGCTCATACACAAAGCGAGATCTCGTGTATTTTGACATACCTAGTACTTTTTTCAAGTACCTACTCTTTAATTTTAATATGAGAGTTTTTACCAATTTAATTCTAAGCGAAAACCAATTTGTAAATGCAAACCCTCCCCGTTGCAACAATTGACACCCGTGTGACCATCGGTCACAGACAAAGTTTTAATCCGTCGCGCAGCCAACGCATTTCAATCTGACTTTCAAATCTGCGGTCGGATGTGATTGTGCGACCTCGGCCGACCGTCGATTCCATCCATCCGTACGCACACGTGATTATTTGCACGGTATGTACAAATTTGAGTAAAGGCCCACAAAGTACGCGTGTTTGTGCAAACTCTCTTCGGTACACACGTTGTGCAGGCTTGGTGTGGGCCTTTTATCAGAGCAGGCGAGTCGCCGCTTATATGTAAATTTGCCAGCAGACCCGGAGAGACCGATTCGAATTCGTGTGCAGTGTGTGTTTGCGTTGCGAGTCACACACCTCACTCACTCGAGCCAAATGCTGGCGCAGATAGATGGATGAATTAAGCCGATGGAGGCGCCCCCATTAATATCTTGGAAACGGCACTCGCATTAAAGGTCAAATGCTGTTAATGGCTCATTCAAGTGCTGGGCGGAGGAAATGAATGGGCCAGGTTTCGCAACTTATGGTGAATTTCGGCTTACAATTGTGGTTCCGCCATTTCAGCAAAGTTTCCAATGGCTTTTGGCTTTAGAACGGTGCATTGCAACATAATCAAATTTGGACGAATTGTTATTTCATAATGTATTATTTATCATGGTGTGAGCTATTAAAGCAAAATTATGCTAGCAATCAAGTAAAAATAAAGTTGAAATAAAAGTGCTAAAAAAATTGATTATATAACTCACTAAATTAGCTACAGTTTGGTTTTAATTTTTGTAGTAATCATTACTACTCATTTTTAATAATATTTTTAAATAATTTTTTTAATTTCATTTCAAATTTTCCCACTATGCCTTAAATATTATACATTACAGTGGACACAAAAATGTGGATTGAATGAACAATAATTAATAATAAATCCGAGTAACTCAGTCGATAACGATCTTTTGATAAGTCAATTTCCAATGAATTTTTAAAATGCTTAAGATCACTCTAAATTTAAAATTGATGTGAAATAAATTTTTTTTTTAATCTATCATTTTATTTAACTTGTAAAAAATATCTAATAATAAAAAAAAAAATTAGCAACATAAATTAAACTAAATTTGCTTTGGGAGCTTTGAAAATAGCATATTATAGCGAATTGAAAGCAACAAATTAAAAATGATTTATTAATCTAAACCAATTAAAACTGCTTTATTTAATGTAATGGATTCTCGCCACAATTTTCTGGAAAATTTTATTATTATTTATTATTTTTTTTTAATTAATAATTTTGAAAAAATGCACGAGTCACGTACGTCACTTTGATTAAGAGCGCGATGTCACCGTGTCAAAATAATGATTGTGATGGCAGCTGCGAAAGAAGCACACACATTTTTCTGGTCGCGGGAGTGGTTTTTCAGGCTCTTTAGTGCCGCGCCGAACATTGCCACCCGTCCATACAGCAGCGAGTGGATAGACGTGGTGGTGGCGCGGTGTGTGTCGCCATTGATTTGTATGTCAGCAGTGCGGTGGGAATTCGCCCATCTGCTTTTTTTATCAAGTTTTCCCGAACACCACACTAGCAATTTTCCAGCAGCGCTGCAACAAATGTCTGCCCATACGTGCGCCGGGTACGATTTTTTTCATTCGTCTCTATGTTGGTGCGTCACCCACCCTCGAATATCAATACGCCGCGTACTATTTGCGAGTGCAGCAGCCAACTTTATGTGTTTGCTACGTGCAAATTGAATCACGTCGCTGGCCACATTTTATGAATACATATTTGAGTGTGATAATAAGACAGTCCTGTGGTTCACATTTGCGGAAAATTGGTCTGGCGAACTAGCACGTGCGATATTTATATCTTTTCTATTGGTCAATTAAAATTCTTCTGCGAAATATAATTCATAAAAATTAAAACTGAAATGAGAACACAGATGAAGTCGTTTTTTGATCTTAAATATTTGTCAAAATTGTGTCACTTCGATTGAAATTTTGTGACTGTATGCATATTATGACCTACTCACTAAACTGGCTTTAATAATCTAAATTTTAAAATACTTGACTGAACCCCCGACACTTATAATCATAGAATGTATAACACTTTATTTTGTGATCATCAATCATAGTTTACTGGATTAGCTTCAAAACGGCCAAATTATTTTATTTATTTAAAAAACTGTAGTGGATCAAGAATAATTTTATATAGCCAAGTGTCAGGCCAACAAAAATAATTCATCTGAACTTACTATGATACGATCAAGACCAATTGGTTAACAACATTTTATTATTGTTGTTTATTTGAACACATTATTACAAAGACATTTTTTACATTCAATTATTGGAAACATTTTATTTAAAAAAAAAAAAACGAATTGTTGGACAAAACGGCACCAGCAATTAAGAATTGCTGAAACTTTCAAGATCAAAAAATCCGCCACGTATATAAAAATTAAATTTTAGGATTGTGCACTTCATTTTGGTAAAGTTTTCCATTACCAAACTTGCCTAACAACGTCTGTTTGGAAATTACATGCAGATGCATGGGTGCACATTTATTACCTCCACAAAAAGTGCATCTTCTTGCATGCAACGCCGTGATAAAGGCACACAACTCAGTCTGCAAAACATCATAACAGCCGCCGAGAGCTGCAACATTACTTTTTATTGTGAATCTCCCGCATATGGACAACATTAACCTATTTTACCTGCGCACCAAATGTACTTGTCCATTTGCAAGCAAATGCGTTCGTAACTTCAACTCTCTTTCCCTCGACGGCGGCCCTCGTGTCGCGAAATTCACGTGACCTGGCCGCCGACACGACATTACACTTTGCCGAATGCAAATATTCATTTTGCCATTTTCCCTCGTGTCATTTTGTTTGCGCGAGAGAGCCAGACGTGTTTGCATGAAATATTTATTGTCTCTGACGCGCATCATTCTCATTGTGAAATAGTGCGAATTAATGTCTGAATATCAGTCTGAATATTCATATTTTGCAACTTGCTCGGCAACATAAAGCTGCATTTTTATTGGCACTGAATAAATTACAACGAGTGGTAATAATGGTTTAATGGTGTGTTCAAATGGCATGTATGAGAGGTAATGCCACTCGTATAATGTCGCATGATAGTGGGACGGGAAAATGTGATTGTGGCGAGTGATAAGAGGAGTGAGTGATGCACCATCATTTTTAACATTTTTGTCCTTAAAAATGTACAATTCTGCTGTGGAGCTGATTATTTAGCATGAAAATCGCTAAACAAAGGAGTCGTTTCAGAAAAAAAATAGAAGCGCAATTATTAAATTTATAACAAAAAAAAATTTGTTTTTTTGTAAAAAAAAAATGAGAAAAAAATCCAAACTTATTCAGTTTTAAAAACGCAATTGAATTTAAAAGGAGACAAAATGAATCAAAATAATTTTTTTATATAATTAAAAAAACATACGTCAATAAAATTAAAAATTAATTGGCTGCATGTTTATTAGCAAGTTCAATCTGTAATCTTTGATTATTATTCTAATTTTAATAAACAATATTTTACATAAAATCTAATTTAGCATATACGACCTATTATAAAGTGCATTACCGTCTTGTGAGTAGATGCTTGGCTTTTGCGGAGTTTGTCTTGAAGCTTCCCATACTTCCCAAGTAGATCAAGGGAGCAAAAGCCATTACAGAGCTACGAACTCAACTATGGAATGTAGATCGAGTTTGAGCGATAGGGGAAATCTCAATTTGCTCTTGCACCAGACATTTGCTCCGCAGACAGGCAAATAAATGCTCTCCCGCTCGTTCGCTTTTCCACGTGTTTTTCCGCCCACACACGACTTGGGTTAATAGGATGGATGGCTTCTTGTCTGATGCACCTGTAAGGCTGGCAGGTATTTCGCTTGCCTGCTGTTCGTTTGTATCTTTGTTCGCGTATGTAGTTTTTGATGCGCGGTGCGTCAGGAGGACACAAGGAGCCGTATAGGTTTCCATCTCGTTTTTCCGATCTGTTTCACTCTAAAGGGAAAGCTTTGCGAGCTTGACAGACGTGCCGTAATGATAAAATCAAACAGCGCCTTGACAGCTTTCGCAGTCTAATGAGCCACGAAGGAGCAGCAAACAGTCTATGAATTCGATTTTCCATTTGGCTGTTGTTACTTCTGGGTCAATCTATAAACCTATCGAATTCCCCAATAAAACAATTGACAAAAATCAAATGCATTCCGGCGCAAAGAAAAACAAAATAGGAATAGGAGAGGAATATTTAAAGCCGAAATAAGGTAGAAAATGAGATTTATCCAGACTTAACAAAAAAAAATTCTGATACACAATATCATTGCTTTATGGGCAAATTCATTTTAAAATCTTAAAATGTGCGAAATATATTATATTAAAATTAAATTATAAATAAATAATAAATAGGAATTTAAAATAACAGATCATAACAGACGAAGAACACAACGGAAACGAATTTAAATTTAAGGAATTTAGATTTAAAATAGGAATAATCATAGTACTAATACATTTATATTTAATGTAATAAATACGCGCGATATAAAAGAAAATTAATTGCTAATACATCTATCTATTGATATTTAGACTTTCAACTTAATTTAACCAGAGAGCATTAAAAAATATAATTTTCAAATTATGGTTAAAATTTTTTTGTAGAAAAATCATTTCAGATAATTTTTCTTAATTCAGCTGCGGACGTGACTTCTGACTTAATTATTTTGTTGTGATGTTAGATAAAACTGTATAAATTATGCGATATATCCGTTAAAATTTTTATATGTGTAAACAGAGTACCAGTTTTTATCTCTGAAATAGCCGCATCCTATTGAGGAGGAGATGAGTTGAAACGCTTTCATAACCTTGCCACCATTTGGTTAGGAAAACCGCCAGGAAAATATTTTTATGCTCTCAACCTCAAGACATACATTTTATCGAGCCGCAAACTTCATCCTGTTGTCATCAGACTATTAAAGCAGCAGCCCACTGACCAGAAGAATCAGTTTTGAGGACCTTCGAAAGAGACCTCATGCGCTTTTCGTCTTTTGGTTTCTTCGTGGGACGAGAAACCATGGCGTCAATAAATCTCATTTTACTGCTGCCATTACTTGGTATTGTTTCCAAAATATTTAGATAAACTCTTGGGCTTAATTTAATTTTTGATCGCAGCTGCTATTGTCCATGGCCAGCGGTTCAACTCTCAAGATGCGTGCCTCGCCATGCTGGAACGAGTGAACGAACCTCTTTTCATGCCAAAATGTGAAAAGGGAATAGTGTTCGATATGCCCGCTGAATACATGGTAAATTTTAATTTTTAAAGCATGCGACTTTTAATTGAAATTATTTCTTTCATGCAGTCTCCTCGCTACCAAAAGGCGGGCACTGTGTTGTCAAACCGATTTGGCGAGGGGAATAGAGTGGGTGTAAGAATTCCGATCAAAAAAATCCAAATGCCAAATTTCGACGAATTTATGAAATTCCCTAGACTGGCACAATTTTCGAATTTCATTCCAATGCATCGAAATTTGGGCGCAAAGCTCATTGCCATCTTCATGGGTATGTTTAACATCTAATCAATATTTCATCATATTAAATTTATGAAATGATTTAAAACAGAAATGAGAACCGTGGAAGATTTCTTTGCTGTGGCCACGTATTTGAGAGACAGAATTAACCCCAATTTATTCGTGTACGCTTTTTCCGTGGCTATTATGCATCGCTCAGACACCAGAAATGTCCGATTGCCGCCTGTTACTGAAACTTTCCCTGGTAAGTTTGTGGACGGTTCCGTTTTCATGAGAGCCAGAGAGGAGTCGAGCGTGCTCAGCGACGCCAGTACGGTGAACATGAGGGTCAGTAATTCAATATAAATGTGTGTTTACAAAATTTTTGCATTAATAAATATTTATACAGGCTACAATTGAAATTCCACCTGATTACACTGCCACTCTATTGGAACCTGAGCACCGACTGGCCTATTTCCGCGAGGATTTGGGCATCAATCTGCACCACTGGCACTGGCACTTGGTCAATCCGTTCTCCGGACCCAGAGATTTGGTTCAAAAGAACAGGCGAGGCGAACTTTTCTACTATGCACATCAGCAAATCATCGGCAGGTACGACTTTGAACGTCTCTGCAATCGCCTGCCGAGGGCTGCCCGTCTGCAGAATTTTAACGAACCTATTCCCGAGGCCTATTTCCCCAAACTGTCTACTCAAATTGCCAGCCGAAATTGGGCATCGCGACCTGGTGGATTGATTATGAGAGTAAGTTTCAGTTCCAATTTTAAAGTTTTACAATTATTCTAAATTCATATTAAATAATAATTTTTTAATTATCTATAGGATGTGAACAGAGAGGCTGACCAATTAAGAGTGGACTTAGCCGACCTTGACAGATGGAGGTCTCGATTTTTGGAGGCAGTTCAGAAAGGAAGAGTTGAAGCGGTGAGTGCACTTATAATTGAATGATGAGCGATTTTCATTTTTTTTCCTTTCCTTATTCTCTAGGCAAATGGAACAACTATTAACATAATTAACGATATTGGTATCGACATATTGGGTGACATGATGGAGCCCAGCGATTATAGTATCAATAGGCCATTGTATGGTGACTTCCACAACCTGCTCCACGTAGCAATTTCTCTCATCCACGACCCTGACCTGAGGCATCTTGAGACGTTCAGCGTGGTCGGCGAAGCTGCTACTGCTATGCGCGACCCCGTTTTCTACAGGATCCACTCTCTTGTGCAAGAAATGTTCAACCAGCACAAACTTACCCTGCCCAGATACACTGTTGAGCAGGTAAATATAAAAATAATATTTAATATTAAATTTGAAATATGTTAATTGAACTCGTTAATTCCAGCTCGATTTCCAAGGAGTAACAGTTCAGAGGGTTGAGTTGAGCACGCCAAACGTGCCTGTCAACACGTTCCAAACCTTCTGGCAAAAAAGCACCGTCGATCTGAGCAGAGGAATGGACTTTTTCCCTCGCGGCCCAGTTTTTGCTCGATTCCAACACCTTCAGCACACAGACTTCTCTCTGAACATCGACGTAAGAAAAGTTTTGAGATTAACAATAATTAATTAATTATTTGGCGCAAACAAGGTCAACAATGCTGGTGCACGACGTCAAGGTCTTGTTCGCGTTTATCTTGCTCCCAAAAATGACGAGCGCAACCGGGACATGGCATTTGTTGAGCAGCGCAACATGTTCATTGAAATTGATAAATTCCTTGTTGACTGTAAGTCTTCTTAATTATCAATTAATTTATAGTGGAAAATGAAATGCTTCGATTAAAAATCGGCCTGTTTCATATAGTCTTGTTAATTCAAGAAACATTTCTTGGAATTTTTTTCAAGTTTATTCTATTATAAATTGTAATATGTAAATTCGAATACTTTATATTTGAAATTAATAGAATTTTTTTCTTAAAATATCGTAAATAACAATTAAAATATTTAAAGAACTTTTGTAAAATTTTGCCTTCACAATATAATAGGAATTATTTTTATGCAAAATCAAATTTTTATTTTCAATTTGTTTGCAGTGCAACCTGGCCCTAATAAGATTGTGCGTGCATCACGCCAATCAACCGTGAGCATACCATTCGATCAGTCTTTCCGCAACCTTGAAGTAGGAAGACCCGCGGACAACGCCTCGGCGAACGCACAGGACAACTTCAACTTCTGCGGTTGCGGTTGGCCTCACCACATGCTCATCCCGAAAGGAACTCCCGAGGGTTTCCCCAGCGTCCTGTTCGTCATGGTTTCCAACGCCGAAACCGACTGGGTAAACAAAATTCCTCTCACCGCAGAATCAAAAAGATAAACTTGACCCAACTTATCCTCTTGTTGACAGAATCCACGTCGCAACCCCGGAAGCAGTCAGTGCGCGGAAGCCTCCGCCTATTGCGGTCTCAGGGGCGAGTTGTACCCTGACCGCCGTCCGATGGGCTACCCCTTCGACCGGCTGCCCCGCAACGGCGCCGTCACCTTGCAGACCTTCCTCACTGGCAACATGCGCGCCCAGGACGTGACCATCCGGTTCAATGATCGCATCGTCGACAACACGCCCAACAATGGAGAACGACCTCGCACGACGGACGTCTTGTTCCCTCCACTTCAGCCAGCCAGGGGTCAAACGCAACCCCAGCCAGCCAGAGGTCAAACTCAACCCCAGCCAGTCAGAGGTCAACCAGCAAGGGTCCAAACTCAGCCAGGCGGAGGTCAAACTTGGCCACAAGGAGGTCAGCCCCAGCCAAACTGGGGTCGTCCTCAGCAACCACCTCCCAGGAATCAAAATCAAAACTTCCCTTGGGGTGGACAGTCCAGTGGTGGAAGGCCACCCACGGACTTCAATAATCTTTTCGGCGGGGACAGAAACAACCGAGGACCAAACCCTGGCAATGGCCGTGGAAACAGCAACCCCATCTGGTTCCCTGGCCAAGGTGGGAACAGAAGATGGTTTTAAAGTATTAGTTTAAGAATGAGAAATTTTGGGAAATAAAATTTAGGATTCAAAATTATGTTTTGGTTTTTTTCCCGTTCTATTAAAAATTAATCTTTGTTACTTTGACTTTTGATTCATGTGAATAAAAATATATTTAAAAAAAATTCAAGCGTTATAATTTTTTTATTTAACCAATTTTATGAATTTTTATAATACTTAACAAATATATTGCATTGCTCACATGTTCACAATGATCATATTTATATTAAATTCTCCCAAAATCGCTTTTTTAATTATATTCAATAATTTCAATAAATTATAAGGAGTCAAAGAAGCATAAAATGATTAACAATATTAGAAATAGATTCATAATTTAAAAATATATATCTTTTATTCATTTATTTATTTGTGTTTGTCAAATTGAAAATGTTACGCATTTTCAGTAGAACGAAAGCTGACAAATACGCGCAGTTTGTCCAGAAAACAAGACCATATCAACACACTCTTTATGCAGGGAAAGTAAAAAAAGTCCACTTTTCTGTTAAAAATTGCCATCGGAAGTGGGGCTGCTGGTTTGCATGTTCGAAAACGAGTGTGCTCGTCTTGATAAATTCGTCGATGCAGCGGAATTCATAGATCGTGTATTGAAAAAGCGGCTGCAACAATTTATCTGCCGTCGGTGGAAAAGCAAGCATAAGAGCGCCGAGAGCGCGAGGAAAAACGCACGCCGCCTCCACCGCCGCGGCCATAAATCACAAAATGTAATTGGCTGCTCGTGGATGCTGCTTTTTTCACTCACTCTCCGCAATAAAAATGATGTATAAAGTCGAAAATTTTTATTTTCCAATTCCGCACGCCACGAAATTCCGATGGAAAAACAAAACAAGGCTTTTGTTTTATTTATATCAGTCGGGGGTGGCCGCGCTCACTTTTATAAATTTATCACTTTAACACCCATACCGATCGAGATGGAAAAAACGCGAGCAAAACCAATAAAAATCCAGGTCGTATTTCAAGGGGCCTAATAATTTGTCTCTCTGGCAGATTTGCCTTCGCATTCCGTCGCAGAAAGAGAGAGAGAGGAGTGCATGGAGGCCGCCCTTGTTACATTTCCAAACAAAAAGAAAAAGCGGATCACGAGAGGCGGCGCAGGAAAGGGAGGCGTGTGTCTATTATCGGAAAACAAAAGGAGCCTTAATGGAGGAAAGAGAGTGATATGAAAAATTGTTTCCCATCAATTGCCATCCTGCACTGTCTTGCCTCAAATTGCTCAGCTTTGTTTCTCATACATAGGCTTGGGAAGGGTTTGATCTCTGGCGAACGTAATTGCTTTTTCGCCATTGCAGTGTTTTTCTTTAAAAAAAAAAAAAAATTCCAATCACACTCCACAATTTTTATTAGCTGCTGTTTCAAAACATCATTAATCACGTGATCTTTGTTTTGAGCTTAATAAAAATTATTTAATATAATGCCAGAAGTGCACTTTTGCCTTATTGTTAGTTGGAGCTAATCAATTATGCCAAAATGGCGAAAGAAACGAAAAACGCGCAAACTGTTCAATTATACACACCTGGCGTCGGCAACGCGTCGAATCGTGGCCTCGCTGACCAGCCGGCGGTGTCCTCTCTCGCGGTGGTTGTCGCTTTCGGCCATGATTTTCGACAAAAATCAGTATGCAAAACAAAAAAGGCACCATGCATGATGAAACTCCCGGAAACACTCCAGCTGGTACTGATCATATGATCTGAATAATATGGCGCAATTATCAATTGTTTTTCATGAAAAGGGCGGTAACAAGAGATCCATCATCCAACTCGACAAAGTTCCAATATTGAAAATAATAATAACTTTTTTTTTAGTTTTAGATTTTACGGAGTGATGCAGTGAACTTGAGAAGAATAATTAAGGTATGGAGAAGCTCGTGGAGTTATTTATTTTGTGATCCGAGCATGCGTTGTTGCGTAATAAGCATAAATACACGCACACCTATTATGCATGACGCTTCGCTCTGTTTCTCTCGCACTCGACTGATGCACGATTCACTCACGGCTCGATTCATTGGCGAATTAATTTTTCGCGAATTAATTTTTTTATTAGTTAGCATTGTATAAAAAAATTGCAGCACTGATGGATAAATATTTTTTTTTTTTTACTTTTTACTATTTCATTCTTAAAAGTATCTTCACTTGAACCAGATCGAGTTATTAATGTTTCTGGAAGAATTTGGTTATCTGAATTTTGAAAATAGAGAAAAAAATTTAAAAATGCAAACTTGTAGTGAAAAATTTTGCTAATTCCAAAATTTCTTTCATAGGCTTGATATGGTAAAAAAAATGTTCCTACCAAACAATTAAAGTAAAAATATCATTTTTTTCACATGTTGAACGAAAATTTTCCTCAGATAGCCTAATTGATGAAGGTAAAAATTAAATTTCCAGTTGAAAGGCTATCTCAGAAAATATAAAACATTTTGCTCAAAATAATAAAAATTGATTTTTTGACATATAGATATCATAAATGAAAAAGATATTTCCCAGATATTATATTTGGATTTTTATTTTTGCGTCAGGGAGGCCATTCAACTTTAAGGTGCAATCTCTTGAAGTCAATGTGGAGCACTCAAAGATTCTGCATGCACAACGAAATGAATTTGCATTTCACTCGCAAGTACGTACTTCATGGCCGCCGCTTTTGAATCTGCTCGCATGCAAAGAGATCTCAACGACAACTCCAGACGAGCACCCGTGAATATACATTACAAATCTTTCTTTGACCTGGATTGCAGAGTCAGCAAAACGCATTATATCACTTTGCTTAAAATTAAATTTTTAGAATTGAATTAAGCAAACAATCTCGGTATTAACAAAGTCGGATTTTTGCTTTTTTTGCAAATCTGCCGTTTAATAGAACGTGCTTACACGCGGTGCTCATACAAAATTCCCCATGGCATTTTCAGCGCCACCAAGGGAAAAACACCGGGGCACAAAGTTTGCGAAAAAGCTAATCTCTGGCTGGCGAGGTACGTGCCAAAACATTATTTCCCGCCGCATTGCCAACTGCGTGAAGTACATAAATTCATTTTCGCCCGGTGATAAAAAGCTGAGCCGGCGGAGCACATAAAGGCTTGATAAAGGATCCAGTTTTCGCGTCAATCACTCGATAATTAGAAAGAATTTCCGCTAACGAGCAAATGAAACTTTGCGTCTTAATTATACGAGAAGAAAAAACGCAGCCGCTGTCAACGAAAAAATGAGGAGAGGAAGTTTGATTGAGGGCAAGTAACGCGCTCATTTGAATGGAAAACAGAGAAGTTGTTTGATTGGTAGACGTCAGTCAATCCTTTGACGATTGCCCTGCCTCGCATTGTGATGCCAAATGAGGCTTTTTGAAGTTGACGAGGGCACCGTTTTTAGCCTTGCTGCTCTGTTTGCCTCCCACTCAACGCAACTGCGGTCCAACCGCTTTTCAAATTTCTCTGCATTCGACCGGCGTGCGCTGCTTTTCCACTGATTTATTGCTCACGGACGGAATCGTGATGAATGTTTGCCAAATTTTTCATAGCGTTTTTTATTATCGAAATTATATCGTCAATGGTCCAAGTTTTTGCCAAGCAAGATTCAACGCATTTAGGCAACGACATTTTCAGCCAGCTTTTTCGTGATTCAAGTATGTCGCCTGTTATTGATCGCGCACTGGATTTTTCTACTTTTAAAAGACGTGCTTAAGCTGTATTTTCGCTCCAATAATTCTTCTCCCGCGGTATTTCGTCCCTAATCCGCGGAGAACATTTTCAACTCGTTGAAAACGTGGAATTAAAAAGCAATAACTCCCTCGTAGGCCGACGCAAGCATTATTGTTTCGCATTTCACTGAGAGAAAAACTTTTATTGTTAATACTAAGCCTTTTCAAAAGTGCCTGTGCTATTTTAACGTCCTGTTGCGCGGACCCTTTTTTATCCTTTTGATTTTGCTTTATTGCACAGCGACCAGATGGATCGTGATGTTTTCTATTGTGAGACTCTTGGCTTTTGTTTTGCCGGGGAGACGTCGCCGAGATAAAAAGCGGCAACCATAAATTTATGGCTCTGCTGGGATTAAAGTGTAGCGCATTTTTATCTCCAGTGTAAAAAGTTTAAGGCGAACAAGGGAAAAAACAATTCATTAAGTTGCCGCCGGCTATAATTAAGAACGCAATGGAACGAGATAATGTCTGCAAATTCAATGAGCAATTTAATTATCTTTTACAAACTCATTTTTTCATAAAACTCAAATCATAGATAATAAAAATTTAAACCTAATAAATAGTTCACTTTATTTGAAATATAAAACCTCAAAAAAATAACTTTTAAAAAAAATTTCATAAATAAAAATATGAATGACAAACAGAGAAAAAGCTATTACATAATATAGATTTTTCTGCTTGGATTATTCTAGCCTTCAGAGTGTCCAATGAAATCTTAATCCGTCTATGAGGAAAAACAGTGGGTGGCACGTTCTAGGGAGAATCTGGCTGGCCGTCTGAAGTGAAACAAATTTGCCATCTGCTCGCGACACATTTTCGGAGACAAGCAAAGCAGGCAACTTTGTCTACTGCTGCTGCTGCTGCTCCTCCGACTGTGACCAAATTTATTTTACAATATAAAGAATATTGTTCCAAGAGAAAGGGCCGGAAAAGTTCTGTTCCTCTCAACAATCTCTCTGCGTCTCTCTTTGCAAGCTACTCGTGAGCTCACCAAACGTGGCTGGAAAGAAAGTGTAGAGGTTATTTCTCAACATCATGTTGCTGCCTTTTTATTGCCTTGTTTCTTGCCTGAGCCGCGCGTGCTTATTAAAAGATACGACGAGGGACACACTGCTTTTCTCGAGTATGTAATTTATCGCACTTCGGGGACAGTGATGGAAATGAAATTGCTCATTCTCTCTCTCTCTGGATAACACGATTATAACTTTTCCTCATCTGAATGATAAAACGTCCTCCATATTTCTCTCGCCAATTTTATGCTCCCTATCCAGCGTCTTTTTATGTTTCAAATAAATGTGTTGTTACACGAGAATAGCAGCCACGATACTCTTTTTATTTCCTCGTTTAAGAATAAAAAAAACAAGAAACTTAAAGCTTTCATGTATGAGGGTGAAGAAATTGCTGTTAAAAATGCAAGTTTCAATTATTAACAATTTGGAGATGCTATTAACATTACAGAGAAAATAAAAAATTGCATATTCAAAATACATTTCATTGAAATCGGACGATTTTCCCCCCATTTTAATAAACTTGCCGTTAAACAAGGTGTAAAATTAATTGAAATTTTAGCAAAATACACGTTACGTGAATTTTTTTCAAGCCTTCTTGGTTTTTATCAACAAATTCAGGAGAGAAAATTGACGTCACTTTTTAAAGGGGTAAAAATGAGAATTTGCTCAACGCGCAAGCAACAGGTAAGAGTGATTTTTCGCTTGCCCGGTCCGCACGGAAATTCGACCGATCGATTCGATTTTCACCAGCAGCTTGATTTCCCTAGAGTGCGAGTCACGGGCGTTGAGTCGAACACGCCAAATGCGCCAAGAAACAGTTCCAAACCTCCGGTGAAAAAGTCCTGTCGCGGAATGGATTTTCTCCCTTGTGGCCAGTTTTCAACAAATTCGCTCAAACTTGCTCAGGGTATGTATTTACCTAAAATCTAAAACACATTAATTCAAATCTCATTATAAATGTTTGGGATTAATTCAAATATTTACTTCGCACCACCTAAACTCCAAATTTGAACGAATACTTCTGTTTGTTAAGTTGTAGCATATATGGCAGTAAGTTATTTTTTTTTTTTCAAATTTCAATCAACTGAAACAAAATATAAGCTTTCTTTAGAAAAATTCAAAATTATTATTTTAATTTATGGCATTATATAAGATCATTTGAAGATCACATACAGTGATCTCCACAATCAATAAAAACTACGAATACTGTTTTTAAAATAAAAATCTGTCTTTTTGGATCAAAGGAAGTAGTGAAGAAAGAGGTCACTAAAATATTTAAAAACAATGTTTGTGGTTTTGGTCAGATAAACCGCATGGCGCACACTTAAAAGAAATTATCACTTCTATGGCAAAAATTAATGTTGCTTTGTTACAAGTACAAATTTTGAGCAATTTTGATTTGATTGATGAAAAAAAAATTCCAAAACCATAAAAACATTTGTTGAAAAAATATATGTTAAGATTTCATTTTGAAATTGGAATTCAATTGTTATATAGAACCAAAAATGAAAAATGAGACGGTTGAAACAATATTTATTATTTTCTTCTATTATTTAACGGCAATTTCCCACCACATATGAAAAATTACTACGAGCGGTGCATTGCGGAATTCATTTAGACTTATTGTGAGACCTCTCAAAACTAAAGCGTTTTCACCCATGGGAGTTGGCAACGGATGACATTTTCCAAAAATAATTAATTAGTAATTTCCACTTTTATATATTGAAAAATAGTGCAAGTTAACATCCTTTCCCAGTTAAAAACGAAACATCTTGATGTTATGAGTTATGAATTCTCACTTTTACATGTCTAGGGCCCAAGTAAGTATTTTTGTTTCACCGAAGAAGAGATAAAGTGCGGCTGCGGTTTTTCTCTGTACTCTTGTTTCCTGGAGCAATTTTTAAACCCTAAGAATAAATGCATTTGCCATGTAGCGGAAACTGTGAGGACAAGATAAAGCGACACTCACTCTGCGTTGCCCAAGCAAAAAATGGTAGCTTGAGTTGGCCATAAGTATATGAAGACGATGGTAGAGATTAAAGTGGAAATCTTGGAAAATCCAGACAAATATTTTTTCTGAAGTTTTGAGAGTGTAATAAACCATCTAAATTTCATTTCTCACTGACATTGTATACTTTTGTGAGATAAAATTGATAAATAAAACACAAAAGCAAAACGCAATTCAACATTTGATAAAAAGAGCAAAATAATTTTTCTGCGCCAACACTGTTTGTAAGTATTAATTTGATACAATTTAATACTTGAGCAAGCGGGTTACAGTAATTTTTCCAGTGGCCCCATCACAATTGTGCCACGTACTCACTAGTTTCGAACGATTAAATTCGCTGGCTGGCACACGCTGAGAAAGGACGTCTGTCCAAATTAGACGCAGGCCGCTAGCTTTGCTCGAGTCTCGTAATGACAGGCCGCCCGCTCGCCGGTCTTTCTTTATTTCGTACTTGGGCAACTTCTTTTCACTTCCCCGAGGACTGGGTGCGCCAGCTTTTTTCTACTCTGGTTGCTGCGAAATGAGTAAAAAAAATATCGGGAGCTACATAAAATTGAAAGTTTAGGCTGTTTTCAACGAATTTCCACATTAATCTGCCGCCTGTCAGTTGCACATGTAAAAAGGCGGGGTGAAATTTATTGGAGAGAACCAGCAAGAAAGCATTAAAATGGAGGCGTTAAATCATTCATAATTGGTTGCGTCTCAATATTAATCTGCAAAAATATCGCATTTGAATGAATAACTGGGCAATTTAGAAAAATATTTAGAGCCAACTTTAATATTCATAAATATATTTTGAATAAGAAAAAATGAAAGATTTCACATTAAAAAGTCCTGAGGCTATATTAATTTAATTAGAAAGATAATTCCAATTACCAAGTGCAAAAGTGAACTTATTTTAAACATTGATGTTTATTTAAATTTATTTAAATAAACTTAAACTGATTTTTAAACTTTTACAACAATTTGTAAATAGTAAATAAGCCTAACATATAAAATAATAATAATTTGAACTATCCTTTTTTCATTATTATTTTTCTACCTGTCGCTAAAAGTCTGCTGATTGCAAAGAAATTGTTATTTATATTCATTAGCCCCAGAGGAATGTTAACCTGCGAGCAATTTCAGCAGACATGTGGAAAACTGCACCATGTACCTCCGAGACGAGAAGATCCGCTGGCGTTTTTGTTGCTCAGGTCACGCGGGGCGTCTCTCGAGACAACAATAATAAAGACGGGGAGGCTTAATGGTTGCTTTTAGGAAGGAAGAAAGTAGTTTGGGTGCGAGGCGGGTGGCCCAGCGGCGAGCAGGCAGGCGCAATTACAATGCGATGCAAGCAAGTGACTAACTGCCCTTGGCTCTGGGCATCTTGTGTTTCGCAGGGCGACAAAGCCTGACGACGATTTATCGCCTTTTTCGCCGGCAACCTCTAGATTAACACCGTGCAAAACCTTCTTTCTGCAATACGCATTCCCTAGCGAGCGAGCAATGTAAATTTCAAACAAAGTTGATTAACTAAAGGTACATGTGTGCAGATATGCCGGAAATGGAATTTTTAATCTGATTGACAGAAAATTTAATTTGCTGTTTCTTTTTAAATTTAAGACTTTAATTTCAAGGGTTAAAAGTTTTAGAAGCATCTTGTTCATTTCATTAAATATTTTAGTCCATTTTTTGTGTGTAAAATAATAAATAATGCTTCAATTGTTTGTCAAATCCACCGCGATTTTTAGCATTAAAAAAATTACTCCCACATTTTAGCAAATTTTGTGATGTTAAAACGTAAAGTAGCATACATATATTTAATATAAATGCGCCTCTCCTGAAGCAGTTGCCGCAACTTTTATGAGCACCATTCTCCAACTGATGTAATAAACTCGTCCATCAGGCGGCGGTTTCAACTCCCGGTAGAATTGACGGAGTGTAATTTCTGTCTGATAACACAATAATATTATACAGAGGAGAACAAACACAGAGTGAATCATTTCTGACGTCCTCTCTAGAGCAAAAGCGGCAGTAAAAAATTTATACCAAGCACGTTGCCAACAAGAAAAGAAAAATGAGAAAGTTGAAAAGTCCCAAGACACATAGCAAAGTGCATCCTTACATTCTAATATGTTTGGAATTCTGCTGTAAAATTCTGCCGCGAAACGGGTGCGAGATGCAGAATGCAAATGAGCAGGAGAGATTTCTTCGCCGCGTCTCTCCGGCGCGTTTATTGTGCGCTGACATTTATTTCTGTCCCTCTTTTCGCCTGCTGGTGTGATGAAAAAATTCGCGCTGCTTTCATTCTCTTCTTCATGCACTCAACTGCTCATGAATATGTCCTCGACCTTTTTCTTTTCCGGCAAGGCGTAATCTCAAGAAGAGACAAGTCTTGTGAGCTACACGGAGAAGAGGTAAGAAAAACAAAAACACTCCTTAGCCAGAAAAGAAAAAAAAAACATATTCAGATGAAACGTTGCATCGCACAGAGGGAGGTACTTCTTGTGCATTTCTTGCGTGCTTGAGGCAGCGCTGCAGGGAGGTAATAAAATGCACACCAGTGGTGCATTACTGACTTCAGAAAGGAATAAATTTTGCGATGAAAAGCATAATTAGGTAAGAAGTTTTTTGTTTGAAAATCTCATAAGAAATAACGCGCGCCAGGCAGTAATGAATGTGCCTGCGGACTAAAAAACAACGTCTATGATCTGAGATGAGAATTTCATATTTAGGGTCAATATGGCCACATATTTTAATAATTTTTTTTTAAATATCGCACGCCACACAGGTTTTAATGTATTTGTCTGGGATAGAAATCAACGTCTATTGGAGAGGAGCCTTTTAAATGTCAGGGCAATTTATTAAACTTTGATTCCGTCTCTACGCACGTTTTGAAAAATATTAATTCCTTTTGAGATAAGATTCCTACAATTGTAAATAATTTCCATTTTTATAATTTAATATTCATCTCCAAACCTTGCTATTTTTTATCATCCAAGGCACCACAGAATTGACCCAATTCAGAGTATGTAATTTATCGCAGTTATCGTATAGAGTGGCTGATAAATTGTTTCCCCTGGACATTGCAACAGGAGCTGCTTCTGGCTCATAATTTGATACATGAGTAAGAAATATATGCATATTCTGCATGAAGCCGTGTGTGGAGCTCACAACCCAACGGCTACCCGTGGGACATTATAGCTTTCCCTACAAAAGTGGCGCATATCATTCTAATTTTCTTTCAAAGCAATTATTATTTGATTGCTAAAATGCATTGCTTACAGCTATGCTTTTTCTGATTGTAATAATATGTAAATCTAATGAAAATTATGAAAGCTAATTTTGTCATAATATTTATGTAAATTTAAGACCTTGATGGACTTTCCACTGAAGGCACACATTTTATTTCAAGAAATATAGCCAATGAAAATTTTTATAAACAAGACGCAGTATAAATATATCGGGTCTGTGGTCTATAAAAAAACAGCGGTCCAAAACTACAATTTTGACGAGAGCACAATACAATCGACTGAAATGGGTTCCAACATTTTTTTTCTTCATATTTTTGATCGGAAAACATCCAATGGACAACAAAGCTCAGGCGCATGTTTTTGAACTTTAGAGTACGTGTGAAATGTGGATGGCGACGGTAAACGTGAAAAATGACACCAGGGTCATTAATAATAAGAAAGCTCCGAGCAAGCCAAAAGTGATCATGAACTAGTCGGAAAGCGCACTTTGTAAAGATGAAAAATCACCTCTGGACGCGCGACGAACAATGAGAGCCAGCGTGTTTGCCGAGTGTTTGCGGTCTCTGAGAGGGTTGACTATAAATGCTGCTGACCACCTTCCACCCCCTCCATGGGCGCCCAGCATCCAGGTTGCAGCGTCGCGCAAAGGTGGCCAGCCGCTCAGTACAAACCTGAATCAGGCAGAACGTGAAAGTGTTAACTTGTGCTTTTAGGTCTTTGTGTACCAACGGAAGTTTACAATTTTGTGGTCTTTTTGAGGTGAGAAGAAAACATTTTCATGATTAAAAAAATTTCATTTTCAAGTTTAAAAAAAAAAATCAAGTTTCCAATTATGCGTGCGTATACTGATGCAAAAAAAGAAAGCTATTTATTTTGGGTTTTTTATTAATTGAAAGAACAGTTTTTTACTTTTTTTAATATATTTTTTTAATTGGCAGTTTGGATTTTCATTTATAGTTTATAGTTTTACTAAAGTTTTCGATATTGACTATGGTCAAAATTTTATCTTGAAATTTATATTATTTTGTTCACAACATCAATTCCTCAATTAAATGTCTTTTATGTACATATTTCAAGACGTTTAAAATCTTTTCTTACAATAATAAAAAATGTAAATGCCAATTTTAGCTTTCTTTAAAATTCTTTTTGATGCATCAAAAATATTTAATATTATTTTTTCAAATATAACTAGAATAAAAAATTCGGAAAAGAAAATGAAGCAAGTGTAAAAATGATAGCATGTTTTTCTTTTTAATTTATCTTAAAAGTTTTCTCTCTGCGTGAATTCATTTTAATTTATTAGGTTATTTTAAATTTAATAATAAAATATTAATTTTTTAACTCTAATAAATTATAGATGACGAATTTACAAAATTTAAACTTTTTAATTTAAGGACACACTAATTAATTCATCCTAGTCACAAAAAATGGATGGCCTAAAAAGTGATTTTCCTGAGCAACTGCCTGATCTTTCGCTGTGGGAAGGACTCCAAGACGCTCTACGCTTAAGTAAGGCAACATTCTTTGCACTTCGCCAGCTACTATTGTTCAACCCCTTGTATTGAATAGAAGCTTCATTCATTGCCCTCTATCTGGTTCTCTTGCAGGTCCGAAAAGTCGCAGGAAAAAGAAAAGAGAGAACCCGAGCCAAGAATCGCAAGAATCGGCCGATGCAAAAAACACCGAGTCAACCCCTAGCGGATCAGGCACAATTAAATTGGGCAGCCGAGGGGAACACCCGGACGCCTCGAGTAAATTCCGGTGCGAAAGTTGCGGCAAGTCGTGGAACAGGTACGGCTTTTTCATCCGACACGTCAAAAGGCAGCACGACATGGACGAGTTCATCGCAAAAGTGCAGAAAGGCGCCGAGAGCGGGGCGCAGGCAAAAGTCAAATGCAATTTCTGCCGCGGCCAAGTGGCCAAAGCAGACTATCTGGACCACTTCTGGCGCCGTCACGTGGACCACACACAACCCAATGGCGCGAAACCATGTCTGTTCTGCAAAAGGACGCTGGACGGTGTTGAAAAACTCGAGTGTCACTTGCGAGTTTTTCATTTTACAGAACTCCACGTTGAGCCCACTCAATTTGGAATAAACGTGAACAAAGCGCTTTTGTAAAAGTTATTTAAATAAAAATAATATTAATTGAAAGCTTAACACTCAAGGCGAATTTCATGTAAATTTTAACCAGACTCTTCGTTAAAAGGGGAAAAATAAAATGACATCCCTAAAGGTAACCTGTGGTCTACTGTACCTTTAAAAACCTTAGATAGGGGTCTTTCATGTCACAATTAAAATTAACGAGGGGGTAACTTATGAAAAATTTTAATTCCAAATATTCCAATCCCTCTTAGTTTTACTTTGGACACAACAAATGTCTACATTTCTATCAGCAGACCGCAGGTTAAACTTTTGAGGCCAGTTTCCTTTAATTTTTATTAATTTTTTTCCCAATTTTTTCTTGCTTGAGGAGCCTGGTTTAAATTTTCATCAATGATATAATATTTTGTAAAATATTTAATTTAAAAAGATATATAATCATATGTTGAGGATATATATTTTTTTTTCGCCCCAAAAAATGATTTTATTTGCGTTAATTATTTTGCTTGCTTTGTCGATATATGCCAAACATAAATAATATATTCTGTCATGTGTATTTGCCGCGTACACTTGGACTTCCATCCAGGCGCGTTATCTGACAAGGTCGCTTGTAGAGGGTGCTAACACCACGAAATTGATAGCAGCGCGCCTTGATGCAAGCCTTGATGCTTGTACCGTAATCCCATTATCGGCCGTTGAATGCACTCTCTCCCCCAAAATGCACTCGCGGCCAGCTGCATTCATGTTATTTTCAACAACAGCGAATATGGACGCCCTCAGCCTTGTCATCGCGCTTTACCACATTTTGGCACTGTTTTTGGTGGCCAAACACTTGTCTAGTTTCCTCTTCAATTTTCTCGGCGCGCTCTACGTGCACTTCATCGCCAAACTCATTTGCAAACCTGTTGATCTGACCACGCGCTACGGGAAATGGGCAGGTAAAATTAAATTCCGCTCGCTTCAGTGCGCCCCTAATTATAATAATAATATGTAAACAATATTATTATATTCGTGTAAAATGTTTTGAATCTCATTGAAGAGAACGTTAAATAATAAAAAAGCTCTCTAATTATATGACCACGGGTGTTTTGGCAAGATATTTAGATTTTTTTTTTTATTCTCAGTCATCACCGGAGCCAGCAGTGGAATTGGCAAATACTACGCTTTGGAGCTGGCAAAAAAGGGGATGAATGTTGTGCTCATCAGCAAAAATTTGGAAAAGCTTAAAAAAGTTGAAGAAGAAATAAGTACATAATAAATTCAAAATGTTTATAATTCTAAAAATTTAAAAAAAAAAAAAATAGAACAAGAATGTGAAGTGGCTACAATCGTGATTGTGGCTGATTTCACAGGCGGACAAGAAGTTTATAAGAAAATCTGGGAAGATATCTTAGATCTGGAAATTGGAATACTAGGTGAGCAGATTTAAAAATTAAATTAGTTGAAATGAGATCAATTATTAATCATTTTAATAGTAAATAACGTGGGCGCATTGCCGCGTCGGGCGATGCGACTCGAGGAAGCGCCTGTCCAGCAACTTTGGGACATGGTAATGGTCAATGTGGGCACCGCGACGGCGATGACGCATCTTATCTTGCCTGGCATGAAGTACCGCGGAAGGGGCATGATTGTGAACCTATCGTCTGCTGTACATTCAGGACCTTGTCCATACTTCTCCATCTATGCAGCTGCTAAGGTAAATTTAATTTTTTTTTAATTTTTAACGGTTTTTATAGCAAAATAAAAATAATTTTATTTTACTACTAATTTAATGAAATGAAATAATTTATTAAATTACTTAAATTAAAAAACAACATATAATACTGTACAATTTTAGTTATTAATAAATATTATGCTGTTATTTTAACAACTTTTTAAATTAATTTTTTTTTAACTATTTTAACAATTTATCAACATTATTATTTTGTTTCTATCAATTTTATTAAAAAAGTAGTTGCTTTTAATTTTAAATATTTTTTTAAATTAAATTTTGTTTATTTATATACACAAACACCAACCAAATACACTTGAATATAAAATAAATTCAATTTTTTTTATTTTGGTGGTTGAATCCTTTTGAATCATGTTTAATAGTATATTGAATTAAATGATTTCATAATAATAAAATATGATAAAGCATGGAAATTAATTTGATTCTTGATCTTTATTATTACAAATTTTACAAATTTTTAGTAATCTTTTTTTATTTGCAGGCTTACATTACAAGTTTTACAGATGCAATCAGGTTGGAGTGCGAAGGATCAGGCGTTGAGATACAAACTCTGCATCCGTGGTACGTACGAAAGGACGCCAAGTCGGAGGTGACTACTAGTGAGGGCGGAACAATTTGTGTGCCGACGGCCAAACTGTACGCCAAGCACGCAGTGGCCACCCTTGGGGTCGCCCACAAAACCGCAGGATACTGGCCACACGGGGTGCAGGTGACACTCGGTTTTTCCTCACTCTTTTTTTTTTGCCCTCACTGCAAAATTCCTTTGGGTGTAACATGAGCTCTTTTCCGCCACTTTTCAGGACTGGATTTGGAAAATGATGGGAGACTTCATGTGGGCCAAGTGTGTGCAGAAGACTGGCGAGCCATACATGACGAAGACAAAAGCTGAATAAATGGGATCAATCTCGTTTTCGCAATTAAATTTTTTAATCCAAACGCATTACAGTTTTCAACTCGGTTAATTTGAATTCAAATTTTGTGTAAATTAAATATAATTCAGAATGCAGAAATCTTTTACTTTTCAACATAATTAATTTAATTTAAAAATGATTTGCCATAAATAATGATTCATTGTACTGACAGCATATATAGAATAAAATAAATTAATTCTATGGGTTCTACTTGATGAAAAATATTTTCTTTTATTTTCTGAACCATCGACCTTTTAGTATGTTCAATGTGCACTTTGAGCAAGCGTAATTAATTGACCCAAACTGCAAAACTGGCCAAAGTCCACTCTTGTTAATTGTTTGGTTAGGCTGTCGACGAGATGATTAATCAAAAGGATCGCCATGTTGCTATTCCCTTTCACAGGCCTACTCATATACCCATCGAAAATGCAGCTAGTGGAAGGCGCCTCAAAAGCATTCTGCTCATTCTTGCAGTGCAAAGAGTGCCGTCGTGGGGTGCACAAAGCGCCGCTCTTGTATAGCAACCAGAGCACGCCAACTCAAAATGCCAGGCTTTTGGGACACAGTGTTCCTCGTCTACGAAATTTTGGCAATTTATTTAGTGGTGAGATTCCTGGCTGCCCTAATTTTCAGTCTAGTTGCCACCATTTACATCCACTGGCTGTACAAGAAGCTTTTCCAGCCAGTCAACTTAACCTCACGCTATGGAAAGTGGGCAGGTCAGTATAAATATAGGAATATGTATTACACTTGGAGGTAATGAACTAAATTTAGGAAAAAGAAATTTGATCTTGACAAGCCGAGGATTAAAAATTTAAACAATTTTATCATAGGCATGTTACAAGAAGCGGCATAATATAAGTGGAAAAAATTCCTTTTTTTTATCTTAATCATTTCAATTAAAAGTATAACTCCTAGATGCCGACAAAGTGCAAAAGTAGCTAAATTAATAATAAATCACGATGAAATCTCAGTAAAAGTGTTTGCTAGTTAACTGAAAAAAAACGACTTGAATTTATTTTGTAATAAGTCTTAATTCTAACTTTTTAGCTGCAGAAAAGTTTTGAAAAAAGAGCGAAAAATGAAGAGCATTTTATCCCTTGCTGATATTCTATTCTTTGTAGCGCCTAACAATATGGAGTAACGTCTACTTTACATCTCTCCTATTCTAACAAAGATAAATTACCATTTCTAGTTTTTTTTGTACGGCTCGACATACATTTGTCATCCCGCAAACATGCTCCCTGATATCAAATAAAGGAACATTATTGATCAAATTATGAAGCTCAAATGAGGTCAAAGGTTGAGAATTTCCGCAAGACTTCCAGAAAGAATAATATTCAACATTATTCAGTGTAAAAACAATCTGACAAATTTTTATTCAGTTGTGACAGGATGCACTGATGGAATCGGCAAGAACTACGCCAAAGAACTCGCGGCCAGGAAATTGAACTTGGTGCTCATCAGTAGAAATGCCGAGAAGCTCGGCGCGCTTGCCAAAGAAATCGGTAAGATTTCTTGAATTCCAATAATTCATTAAATTTGTATACCTCATAAAAATCTCTCTGCAGAATCGGAATTCGGAGTCGCCATCGTGAAGATTGTTGCAGATTTTACTGGCGGACAAGATATTTACAAGAAAATTGAAGATGACATCAAAGACCTGGATATTGGAGTTTTAGGTACATTAAATTTATATCTAAAATTAAACAATAAAGAAAAAGTTTAAAATCAAATTTTGTTAATGAGATTTTGTTTAAATTCAAAGTTAACAATGTGGGCATCACCAACCCGAAGCCAATTTACCTTGAGGAAATGAGTGCTCGCGAGATGTGGGACCTGGTGTTGGTGAACGTGGGCGCCTCCACGGCGATGACACACTTGGTGCTGCCGGGGATGAAGCGGCGCCGCCGAGGCATTATTGTTAACATCTCTGCCTTCTTAGAACGCGGCCCTATCCCCTATTTCAGCCTCTATGCAGCCACCAAGGTAAAGTTTTTTTTAAATTAAAAAAAATATTTATTAAATTTGCATTTTAATTATAATAAAGACTTGATTTTTTTTTTAATTTAAGGCGTACATGAAAAGCTTTTCGGACGCTCTGCGTTTTGAGTGTCAGGGCACTGGAGTAGAAGTGCAGACCCTTTCGCCCTCTTTCGTCAACACTCAGCAGTCGGCCGCGTGGGGAGTGACCAGCGACCAGGAGGGACTTTTTGTGCCATCCCCAAGCATTTTTGCTAAACACGCCGTGGCCACATTGGGAATAGCGCAGAATACGTCTGGATATTGGCCTCACGAGCTACAGGTAGAAATTTTGAATTATTAAATCTAAATTATTTTATGTTCAAATTCTGATAAATTTCAGTACGAGTTCTTCAAATTGGGAAATGACTGGGTGTGGATGTCTGGTGCAACAAAAAGATTTCCTACCCCAAGTAGGGTTACCATAACTGAGGTGCCAGCTGATGAACCTGAGAAAACTGAGGAGCAGTCTGAGGAAAAATCACACAATGAATGATTGCATTATAATATAAACCCATAGATTCATTTGAAAGATAAAATTTTTTTGTAATAATTTTCTAATAAAGAATGCAATAAAAGCTTAAAACAAAATAGCCTCAACTGATTCATATGATAATAAACTTAATCATTTTATCATCTTTATATTTGAAAATGTATTGTCTTTGAAAGATTTTTTCTAACTATTCAAAAAGCATAAAATAATACATATACTTTAAATGCACGAGCTAAAATGTTTGTAGCAGGTTTGTAGATGATTCTTTGTGGATTTTTGGCTCATCATTATTTTTTTGCTAATAAAAACCGTTAAAAAGTATAAAAAAAATTCCTCTTAGCCTTTTCCATTTAAAAGGCAACAATCAAACAACTATTATTTGCAACTTTTATGAAAAATTAGAAAAACTATAGCATTGTAATATTAGAAATATTTGTATTTTCAGCTAAAAATAAAAAAAAAAACTCAATGAATTATGAAAAAATCTGTCCGGAGTGGGAATTGAACCCACATCTCCAGGATGGAGGGCATGCTTTGAAAAACGGCCACGTTCTTTTCGCGCGCTTATTTGTGCTAATCATCCGAACTACTCCGTTCGTGAGCGGCAACGCCCGAAATTTCCCCCTGCTTGTTTTTTACTTTTTTGTTTTCTTTTGTTTAATTTGTTTGAAGTTTGATTTTTCATCGTCCTCTCCCTTCAATACAAAATCCCTAACAACAAAACGACGCCTTTAAATGACAGAGTGACAGAATTCTTTTCGCTCTGTTGCCATTGCAACTGATAATTTTCTCAATCGAATGGTAAAAAAAGTGAAATTTTTAAAAGCGATCGTTTAACTTTTTTTTAAACACGTTTTCGCAGATGATTCGTGGCCTATGACTCTTCTTACATCAGACGCGAAGGGAGTTTGTGCGTTATTTTGAGTTAAAACTTTAGACTTTTTAAATACTGGTCTCACCTAGATGGTTTTCGTTAAATAACGCAAGTCGGCAAACTAGAGAAGATCGCTATGTCTCAAAATCCTGTCGTTGTCGTTTGGGAGTGGGAAAACAGGCATGGGCAATGGAGACCCTACAGCCCTGAGGTCACACAACACCTGGAGAGAGCAAACAGCAAGAATCTGACCAGGGTCATCCTCAAAGATGCAGACCCCATGCTGGACAAGTTCTACGTGAATTTAAGCCAGATGCTCCAGTGTTCTGATGCTCACAGTATGATTAATTTCATGTTTTCTCAACAAATACAAATGATAATATTTTTTTAAAATACAGGTATGCCTCATAGGGTGCGTCGAAGCCTCTTCCTTGGCAATTCTTTGGCAGGAAAAGGCGCAAAATGGGAATGGGAGGGAGATGGGACTGATTGGCACACTTACGACATGGATGTGCAGACTTCAATCGAGGAAGCTTGGTCTAAGGTTTCTGCTTTAGCTATTGAAATTTTTAAATAGCTTTTACTAAATGTTTCTTTACTCTGCCAGGGGATTATGCAAATCAACATTGGCAACATCTTTCCCTATTATCCTTACACTATTGACTTCAGGAACTTCACACAAATCAGGAATGGCTCCGGCTTTGTGAGAAAGGTCAAGAGGGTGCAACAACCTGCCTACCCGATGACCAAGGTCACTCCTGAAGAGATGAAGCAGATTGTTTCCAGTGAGTTTATCTTGTGCTTCCATAAAATTTCCCATTAGGCGGGCCACACAATAGTGTAATATTATTCAAAAAAGTTATTTTTTTATTGATTTTGTTGATTAATTATGTTCAAACTCTTAAAACGGTTTTTTCAGTGCACAACATTTATTAGAAAATCTTAAATAAATTACGCCAAATTTTTAATTATCTATTATTACAGACCACAATCGCATCACTACTGGATCCAAGTATGCAACAAGATCCCAGACTAGCAAAGGTAGTTCCAGCAATGGAAGTGCTATTGGTGCAAGCTCAAGCCGTGCAAGTGGCTCTGCCTCTACAGGTGCGACCAAGAAGTCAACCACTAAGAGCAACAAGTCTGCCAAGAAGAGTGGAAAATCTGATGGAAATGAGAAACCCACTGTAATGATATTAAATTAATTGAACACACTATTATTTAAATTCATTAATTTTTATTGTTGAATCAGGTTGTTCAGAGAGTGACTAGTCTATTCAGTGGAAGCAAGAACTCAAGTTCCAGCAGCTCCTCGGCTGCAGCCACTGCATCTTCCTCTGCTTTACCCTCTGCGGCACCACCATTGCCTTCCAGGGTCAGAGTCCTCACTTCCTGCGTGTCTGCTGGAGATACAAGTATGGACTATGTTTTGGATGCTGATTCAAGCAGCACCAAAAGTGGCAGGCGCCACAGTATTGACACAGTGTCCACCTACCTCAGCCAAGACTCTGGAGAGCCCTCTGCTAGCTCAAGAAGGCCCATTGATAGTGACGATGAAGTCTTCGGAGCATCCCCACACTACAATAACTCCAAGAGACACAAGAATTTGGCTGAGATATTTGGTAATAGAAATGGTTGAAATGAAAATTTAAATTTTTTCGACTCCGAAATTATGTATCTATTTTATATATTTCTTTTTAAATCACTAAAAAGTTTATCAAAAATGATTGCTTTATGCTTATTTCATATCTAAGAATAATAATTAATAGGAGTTGATGAGGCAGTGAGCCAAAACCTGAAGTGCACCTACAGTGCTGTCGACGGCCAGTGTCCCGTGTGCTTGATGGAGCTGAGCGACGATTCAGATGATTCTGACGGAGTAGTCATTCTATGTCTCTGCCAACATGCTCTCCACGTCCCTTGCCTGCAGGCGTTGATTCAAAACCAAAGCTCTCAAGCCAAGGTAGGAAGATGAGTTGAAATTTGTTATATATGATTTATTCTATTTGTTTTAGGGCAAGTACTTGCAGTGCCCCTTGTGTATGATGATATATGGCCAGAAAACAGGCAACCAACCCAATGGAGGTAATATGACTTGGAAGCAAATTTCTTACTCTCTGCCAGGTCATGCTGATGTTGGAACAATTCAGATTACCTACAAGTATGATTTTGATTTCTTCTATTAAAATTAAATCATTTAAATTTTTCATAGTTTCCAAGGTGGCATTCAAGGACCTGAACACCCTTCCGAGGGAAAACCTTATTATGCTGTTGGTTTCCCTCGAGTCTGCTACATTCCTGCCTCTGAACTTGGATTTAAGGTGAGCTTCGTACATCAAAATTTGAATCATGTCAATAAATTATTTTTGTATGCCTACATAGGTTTTGGGCTTGCTAAAAGTTGCCTTTGATCGTCGCTTGATTTTCACTATTGGACGATCTACTACAACAGGTATTGAGGATGTCATTGTTTGGAACGACATTCACCACAAGACTGAGCTACGACAGCAAGTCCATGGCTACCCTGATCCGCACTACCTGGAAAATACTCTCCTTGAGCTGGCAGCTCACGGGGTCTTTGAAACTGATAAATCCTAAGGTGTAGCTTTGCTAACAGCATCAAATATTGTGCCATTGGTCTACTTGTAGTGCACAAAATGAAATTAACTTTGTTTTTTTTGGTCACAATTAACTTAGCTGTGCTATATTTCTTGTGAAGATTTTCTTTCCAAATTATAGATTTCGTTGTTTCAGAATTAATTTCATTAAAATGGATCATGGACCTGTAATATCGAATAGGAGAGTACATATTGATTCAAATGTTTGATAACTGATATTTTCTTTAAAGAGATTTGCTGATGCTAAAAGCTTGCCATATAATCTATGAAAATCTAAAAGTATAGAGATTTATATAAAGTATTTTAATTTTTATTACAAAATACAAAATAAAATTTTATGATCACAAAAGAGTTTGTCAAAGAATTAAAGAATAAATAAATATTTTATGAATTATTTTTGATTTTTTATTGATTTTTATTTTTCAAGAAAACTTGTTATGAAAATAATTTAAGTTTCTTCCACTTCGTTGTATTATTGTTATACATCTATAAGCTAGGGGCCTGCTAAGGGGAGAAGGAAATGAGAACTATATTGAATTTTTCATTAACTCTTTAGAGCAGTCAAGTGGTTTCAACGCAGCGAATGGAATTGCTCACTGGGATGAATCGAGTGCTTTTCACAAATGCCACTCACCTGTCCCCTAATTGTGCCTTTTGTCAGAGCCCTTACAATTAGATCGATCGCAGAGCAATTCATATAAAAGCCAGCAACAATGAACGCGTGTCTGCATACCTGGCCGTCCATTCGTTCAGATCACTAGAGAATTTGAAGACGGATATGCATATCAAGGGTCTTTACAGTCACAAGGACAGCCTTGATTCTGATACCGTTTCAACTGCTAGTTCTGAGTGAGAGAGATTTTTTTATAAAATTATTTTCTAAAACTCAACGCCACACTTCTACAGGATCACTACCAATGATGATGCAAATAACTGGAGTGGCGTTTTTGGAGCCTCGAGTCTACTCTTTCAGGTTTCAAGAGCTATTGGGATTTTGCCGGCAGAAGCGGTCAAAAACAAACCAAGCCACACAACTGTTAGCAAGGAAAAAGAGCCAACGCAGGTGTATAAGCCAAACGGCGGCACTAGAATATACAGGTGCAATAGCATAATTTAACCCTTTTTAGTAGGGAATATTTTTTTCTTTAAAATCGTAAATCAGTTTTCTGCTCTATCTTGCTGGGATTGGGCTTGGTTGCGTTTCGATATATTACCGGACCATGGCAATGCTCATGCTAATCGAGTCAAAGCAGGAGGACAAAAACAAGGATGTGGATAGCGTTAATCTGTATTTCAAACTGGCCTACACACTGTTCACTCTGCTCTTTTGCTTGATTTACGCTATCTTTTCTCGTTTCTCAAGTGAGTCGTTCGGCACAATTTTTACTTGCCTCGATCAGGTAAAATCAAAGAGAATGGAGCGCGCGTTATATATTTTTAAATTCATAAAAAGGTTGACGAATCATTCCATTACTCGGACCACACTCCAGCTACAAAGAGGGCCCTCTACCAACTCTTGTTCAGCGCCCTGGTCCTTCCTCTTGCCGTGTCCGACTGCTACTCGATGACCATCGAGTTTAATTTAACAGAAGGGCCGTTGTACGCGCACGTGGGTTTTGCAATGCATTTCCTCGCTTTGGTAGCCAACGTAATTGTGGAGCAGCAGTTTATTGCCCTGTGCCTGGCGCTGAAGGAGCGGTTTGAGTTCCTCAACCTGAATTTGATTTCACTGCAACCACTGGTGTTTCCTGAATATGAACACGCCGACGTCAAGTTCAAAACCAATGACCTCAATGAGCAACTTTTTGCCATTGCAAGGTAAGTAAATTGCAAAGATTTTAATCAAAAGTGTTTATTTCTGGGAATAGGTCAGAGTTTGCAGGCGCCCTCAAGTACAATAAGCAGAAATTCAACGAGCAGGGATTAAGCTCAACCCAGAGGTCTGGTCTTGTTACCCCGTCAGGCCCCTACGTCCGTTCAGCTTGGGGAAAAGAAACCACCACAACACCACTCAACCCTATCAACACCGGTTCAATCTTTGAGAGCCCTCCAGTTTCTCTTAAGGCCAGACTTGCACTTTTGAGGCGCGTCCATGACAGTTTAAGTGACATAATGGGTCAGGTATGATTAAAAAAATAAAAATAAATAAATAACAAATATGAGAGTAAAATAATCCTTTAAAGGTGAATGGTTTGTACGGAGGATGTCTCTTGGCCAGCATAAGTTTTATATTTTGTGGCGTTCTTTCACTATCTTATTACGTGGTCAATAATGCCCTGTACCCCAAACCCGGAGGAGGAAACAGCGTGGTGATCAGTTTGGTTCAGTCAATTTTGTGGCTCCTTTATTTGAGCGCCCGCCTGATCGCGCTTGCTTGGGCTTGTGCTAGTACAACTAAAGAGGTGATTTCCTGTAATTAAATTCTAAAATTAAAATACATATTATAATTTTAAGGCCCAACGAGCTGGACCTTTACATCAGAAGCTCACCCGAAGAACTTTAGATTCGAGCACCAAAGAGGAAGTAATATTGAATGTTAATATTTATATAATCTATATTTGTAAAAATAGCTTCACCTCTTTTCAACCCAACTTCTGCAAAGAGACATTGGATTTTCTGTCTGTGGACTTTTCCCTCTTGACTTCACTTTACTTTACACGGTAAAATTTAAATTGACGAATCAGTTATATTCTTAATTTGAGCGATCATCAGGTTGCTGGCGCCGTTACAACTTATCTCGTCATTTTAATTCAATTCCAATCAGTCCAGCCCAACACCAAATCTTCAAACGCAACCTCCACCACGATGTCGCCGTTTAGCACGACGAAAAAAAGCAATTAGCATAATTGATCAAAATTTCACTGCACAAAAAATTTATCAATTTGTTTGCACCGCGCCTTGGGGCTTTTTGTCATATATGTGATGTTTGCATTAGCCACACACTATTCATTGACCCTGCGAGGTCACCCCACTTATCAACTCTATTCACCCAGAACAAAGGTCGTTGAGAGCAGCACCCGAGAACTTCACATATATATTCAATTTTCTAATGTGTTGTGTCAGCCGCCTGTCATGACTCGCAATATAATAATGTGGCCACCGTGTTTATTATTGATTCTATCGATTTGCTGCTTTATATTCTCTACCGCTAATTGTTTTCTTCGACCGCGCGTAACTGAATCAAGGGATATTTTTTCGTTTGACGGAATATGGGACTTCAAATTGGCACCCAGGACGGACCCCGATATTGGAATGAGAGAAAAGTGGTGGAAAAAACCTAGACTTGGTGGAGGAGTGAGATTATATTTTACAAAGGATTTACACAATAATTTCCATGTTAACTTAGGAAGTGATTCTGATGCCTGTACCAAGCAGTTACAACGATATTACGCAAGACGCGATAATTCGCGACCAAATCGGAGTGGTTTGGTATCAAAAGTGCGAATTTTTGCCTCGGCGATTCACCGACTCCTCTAGGAGGGTCGTCCTCCACTTCGGGAGCGTCAATTTCCGCGCCGCTGTAGTAAGTTTTGAATGTATAATCAGGGCTAATTTAATTTAAATTTAACTTCATAAGTGGGTTGATGATTTAAAAGTAATGGAACACGTCGGAGGTCATCTTCCATTTGAGAAGGAAGTAACTTTGCAACTAACTAAAGCCGAAAAGCGCAAGGTGTGCGTTACAGTGGCTGTGAATAACACGCTCACCCCAAATACGATTCCGCAAGGCAGGGTGGTTCAGTACAAGGACAAAGAAAAGTATTAATATAATTTTGTATAATTAAATTTACTGCACTTTAAAAATCAGATATCCCAAAGGATTTGTAACACAAAAATTAAATTTTGACTTTTTCAACTACGCCGGCATTCATCGGCCAGTGATTTTGTACACAACACCCTTTGCACACATAAAAGATGTTACTATTTTAACTGACGTTGATTTTGGTTCAGATGTCCCTATTGGTATAAAAAACCTACCCAATTTAATAAAATCAATTTGATTTTTTATTCCCTCGCAGGAATTATAAACTATGAACTGGAATTTAGTGGACCAGGCGTAGGCGACAAATGCAGCTTTAATTTGATTGTTTACGATGAAAATCACGACGAAGTGGCTAAAGTCGAATCACAGACCGAGTTAAATGGCGAAATAAAAATTAAAAATCCCAACTTATGGTGGCCCTACTTATCAAATTCGGAGGACCGCTTTGCATATCTTTACACTATTGAGGTAATTTTGAATTAAATAATATATTAAAATAATTTTAAAAATCTCTAAATAGATTCAACTAACAGATGGAAATAATGTGTTCCCAAAAGACGTGTATCAATTAAAAGTCGGCATTAGATCTCTGGGCTGGGACCAGTCGATGCAAAATAGCATCCTGATAAACAATAAGCCGCTGTATATTAGAGGTTTTGGGCGCCACGAAGACGCAGATGTATCTTGTTTATAATTTCACTTTTACAAAGCAGTTTATTTATATACTATGTCAGATCAGGGGTCGGGGCTGGGATTTGGCGATTGCTTTGCGAGACGCATATTTGATGCAGTGGATTGGCGCAAATGGATACAGAACGTCCCACTACCCCTACAGTGAAGAGAGTCTCGACATTGCAGATAAATTTGGCTTCGTGGTAATTGCCGAGACTCCTGCGATTGGCCTCTCGTAATAAATAAAATCGTGTATGGATTAATTTTAATTAAATTGAACTTCAGAAATTTTACCGCCCGTTTGCAAAAGAAACACCTTGAAATTACTAAGGAACTTATTGACAGAGACAAGAACAGGCCAAGTGTGATTATGTGGTCACTCTCGAATGAGCCGTTGACGCAACTTCCTGCCGCTGACAACTATTTTAAGTATAAAATTGTGATAAAAAAAATTATGATGAATAAAAATTATTTTCACAGAGAAATGGTTCAAAACGTAACAATGCTTGATGCCACCAGGCCAGTGACTTTTGTAACAAGCCAACAATGGAACAACGATGTTGCGGTATTAATTTTTAGTTTTTTTTTTTATTAAAAGATATCCCATTGAAAATTTTAAATAAAGGTTCAGCACATGGACGTGGTGTGTGTAAATAGATATGCTGGCTGGTATGGGGACGAGGGCCACCTTGAGTTAATCGAACGACAGACCATTTCAGAAATTAAAAACTGGCATATTAAATTCGGAAAGCCGGTCATTTTGACTGAGTACGGTGCGGGTGCTCTGTCGGGATTTCATTCAGTGAAAGAAAATAAAAGTTCAAAAATCTAAATCATTACTTTAAATTCTTAGCTTCCAAGCGCAATGTGGACGGAAGATTTTGAGGCACAAGCTTTGTACCAGCATTTTGGTGCTTTTGATAAATTGTACAAGTGGGACATGTTGATGGGGGAAATGGTCTGGAATTTTGCTGACTTTCTTACACCTCAAGGTAGAAAAAATTAATTATTAAATAGATAATATTAAAATTAAATTCTCAATTTCAGAGATAATACGGCCGACTGGCTGCATGAAGGGCGTCTTTACGAGGAACCGTCAGCCAAAAATGGCAGCCTACGTTTTGAGAAAGAGATATTGGCAATTGGCACATGACCACTGCAATGTTAATTTTAAAGGTGATCATGAAATTTAATTTAATGCGATTAACACTGAAGTTTTAATTGCAGGAAAAAACCGTCATGACTTTTGTCGCGTTAGGCATCGCGAGTTTAATAATTTATTTGAGCAGACAAATTAAAGGACTAGAAGACTATTGCTCTTACTATGATTCATGTTCTGCTGATGGCTCATTCCTACATATCACAGATATCCGTCTTGTTCGAGGGATCTTCTCTCCTTTGAAAATAGAATCCTGTTCACCCAAAATTTCATGTGTGTAGTCGTAACGCGAGTCGTTTCTAAAATAAAAGAAAAACATTGAGTGTCAAAATATAAAAGTGGTTGGCAAACACTCACTTCATAATATAGAGTGAACGTTGTTTCAAGAAAATATCCACGACCTGGTCTTTTCTCTTGTCGTTCACAAGCCTCATCACAGAACTAGAAAGCAAACTTATGCCCGCAATGGTGCTTCCGCAAAACTGCACAGATTAATTATCGAGATCATTTTGTATCTTATTTTTTTTTATCAACATACTCGGACGCTATCAATATGAGGTTTTATTACACCTTTGGCGTCCAAGTCTAAAACGTGGACGTGAGCTAGTTGTGCTGTTCCAGGCGGAAAGGCGATTTTTCGAAGGCGCTCGATTATTTTAGAATTTGACTCATTCCAGTTTAGCTTTTCCGTTTCTCGATAGCCGTGGATTGCCTGGAGAAGAAATTAAATCAATCAATATTTTTCAAGTTAAAAATAAATTAAATTTAAACTAACATCATCCCAGTGGTCAAATTCGTATCGAAGTCTCTTCAAGTACGGCTGAATTTCAGCGTAAATCGTCTCTTCCTCTAATTGTGTGATAAAATCTGGATAAATTAGCATTGATTCCACAATTTTTCTTTGCAGTTCTTGGTCAAAATTTGCGTGGAAATGGAAGCATCCTGGAATCTCTAGCACTTTTTCAGTGTTGCTTTTCTCCAAGGCAGACCTTTGATTGCAGAAGAATCTTGTCCTGAGCACTCGTCTTGTCGGAATTTTAGCAAATCTGGTTATAAAAATACTCATTCTGTAGGATGAGCGTTTGATCTCACACAAACGACCTCTGCCAAAATGATATTTTCACAAAAATTGCCTCAACATTGTGAGACTTAGAGTTCGCCAAATTTATCAAAACAAAGATTTAAAATATGCTCGACGGTGGCGCCAAAGGGCTGAGACGAAGAGAATCGACCAATCAGCGTGCAGATGGCGCCAGTTTATTTTCCGAGAGCGCTAAAACGGCGCGAGTTGAGGTGTGGGCGGTTCCGATGGAGTTTTGATTTGATTAGCGAAATGTGACAAACAGTGGATGCGCCTCGGCCGAACAAGAAACAAGACACTTGTTGCTGAGCAGCCAGAGCGATCGTGTCCTCCCTCCGTCTGACCCAATGTAACCACACCCGCTCATGGACCGCCGCTGCTGAAAGACGGACTCATGGAGAACGGGACACTGCAGCCTTGCGTGCCCAAGTCGGCGCCTATCCCGATTGTGGTCAACGCCGAGAACCGCAAGGAACAGCGCAGAATTTTCTTCGAAGCCACCAATGGCCATTCGCAGAACGGGTCGGACGGCGGCGCCGCGTCGTCGGTCACCGGCGCCAGCGGCACCCAGTTCACGGTGACCACCGTTCGGACACCTGAGGAGGTGCACGCCAAAGAACCTCTGCTGACACCGCACGCCGGCCTCTGGAATGCGTTCAACTTTTCCGACCCAGCCACCCAGCTCACTGTCCAGTCGATCGCATCCATGGGCATGGGCTGCACGGACGGAAAAAAGCTGTACCTCCGAAGGGTGCCCACCACCGCCTCTGAACTCATCAGCATGGTCAACCCTATTGCGTGAGCATATTTTTATTTATTTATTTGGTTCATTTGTCTCATTATTAACAATTTGAAATTAAATGATTGCTGAAGTGCAAAAAAATTAAATATTTTATTTTGAATTTAGCAAAAAAAAAATTGGTTATATAAAATATATTATGGTGCAAATGAAAAAAAAATATATTAATTAATACCAGACTACCAACACCGACTAAGATCAAAGATGTCATTAATAACCGAAAAATTATATTTAATTAAATTTTGTCAAAAAAGTTGAATTATGATTGGGAAAAAATAATTGGTATAGTAAAAAAGAAATTTTTTTAAATTTAACTTAGAATAAAATAAAATTAACTAATATTATTTTTTCGCTCTTATTAATTAGTTAAAAATGTTTCTTCATTAAATCCATCGTTAACAAAAATGTATTCCCATTTTTGTCTATGAAAAAAACAAAATTAAAAAAAAATCCCGCAGAGGGAAACCTGTGCAAAATCTTGCAAATAAACGGCACAATAACTTGCAAAAATTTTAATTATAAATCTTAATGATAAAAAAACTGTCTGCTTTACAATTTTATTTTAATCCTTCACAACTTTATAATTATATCTTTTTTCTGTTGGTTTTTATCCTTTGCAAAAATTTATAATTAAAGAGACCAACACTTCTTGTTGTGCAAGTTTTAATTTTATCGGCGGGTTGCAATTTAAGGCTTGCTTATAAACGTAATCTTTCTAAAGTGAAAAAACGGGCACTCTTTTTATCAACACAATCTTTATTATATTTTAAACACTTTGCGATTCAAAGGCCATTCCGCCGCGTGTTTATTTTGTGCTGCACATTTTGCTGCGTCGGGTGTTCGGGTCATGTTAAACGACCGCTGCGTCTATTAATAATTGGGGAATGGCAGCGAGTCGTTGTCATTTGACAGTTGTGCTGTTTAAGTGAACATCGCAGGCTCACACTTATGTTGTTATGTTCATGTTAATATTGTATGGTATCAGTGAGCCCCATGCAACTGACATTCAAGAGCATGGAACTGCCTTTATCCCAGCCAGGAAGCTCAATCGAGACCATATCACTTTTATAATTGTAGGCACTGATTAGCACAAAATTTGTGCTGATTAAAGGAAAAAAAATAATAGAGGCAAAAACAGTCGCTGACGTTTCAACCTTGTTTTGGGTAATAAAAGTTTTAAATTGGCTTTATTTGATGTTGAATTATTCTGTAAAAATTGGCACAAATGAAGATGGATTGAGGCTGCAAAGGCTCAAAAAGATCATTGATTATGATTGATTGACGCCCGCCAAGACCAAACAAGCTCCTTTTTGCAACAAAACTTGAGATCACTTGAGATTAAGACTATTCAATTTTTGATAAGACGCTCGCTACCGATAGAAAAGCGACTATTGGCGTGACTAAATTCAGATTTCAAAGCATCAATTTTTCTCGGAATGACTTTCTCAGTCGCTGGAACGCTGCTGATTCAACAGGTGCCAATCTGTGCGCTCTTTTATTCGAGTGCCAGCAGCAGACGTGATTTTTTTTTCCTCCAAGGGTGACGCCGATTTGTCCAAAGCAGTTTATTGCTTTGTTGCATCGATAAACATAAAGTCGAGCAGGTTTTGATTTATTATTATTGCGAGCCGTGACTGCGTTATATAATAATTCAGAGTTCGTCGACAGACAATTCGTACAACGCGGTTTGTTGTCCCTGCGGCGGGCTGATCTCTTCGCAGAATTTTCTCCATATTAGGAATCGGCTCATTAGCATTGAATTAATGTTTCCATAGCTTGGAATATTTAGCATCCTTCTTTTACCAGCATGAGTGACCGCAAAATTATATTTCCATATCATTGCATCACAAATGGGGATTTCTAGTCGGACGAAATGTTACAGGAATGAGGAAAGACTGGACCGAACTTTTGATTTTATAAAGTTTAGAATTCAACTACAAAATACCCGAAATAATATTAAAAATCTATTAAAAAATCTTTATTTAAATCATTTAAAAAATATTACTATTCATTCATTATTTATACTAGCAAATTCAAAAAAATTGATGTTTTTTACGAATTTTTATTTAAAATATAAATATTTTATTTTATTAATTTATTTTACCTTCAAATAGTTCATTGCACTCTAAACCTTTTGAGATTTATAATATTTTTTATAACGCTCAATGAATTAAAAATAAGTTGTAACACAGGAAACGCTGAAAAAGAACCTTCTAGTATTTCCCGAACCGCAGAAAACGGTACGCGAATGAATTTTACTCGCACCACGACCTCGCTAGGCTCTAAAGCAACAAAGTGAACGACATAAATTAAAGAGATGCGTGTTTGCCGTCAGCCTGCGCGTATCTAACTCATCATTCCTGGTCAAACAAGACAATAGCCGGGGCTTTTGCTAATGCACAGGCAAAATAGAGTTGAGCCGTGGCCAAACACGCCGCGCTGGCCAAACACGAAAGAGGGAGGTGTAGCAAAATTAAGAGACATTATTTACACGCGTAGGATATGACAATCAAAATCGTCACTCTCTCGCGTGTGCACCAGATTTTGACGGGCACGTTTCGCATTTCGCAATTAATTCAAATGCAACCGACTGAGTTGACGCGCACAGGAAAGAATAAATTTGAATCCAACAACAAGCGGCCTTGATTTTCATGTAACAGAGATTGCTTTTGCTGACACTTTTGATTCTACAAGTCTGTAAAATTCAGTTTTTATAATTAATTAATAAAACCACACATCCCTGCAGGAAAAGGAAATGATTGCAACTTTAATGATACATTTCAATAAATTAAATTTTCCTTGAAGTTTGGCCAAAGTGCATGAATTTTTAATTATGTTTAAACAATTCAATTTGAAAACTTTATAATTGTTGAATTTTATTTTTTACCTAACTGTATCTAAATTTAAGCCACGGAAAAGTACGAAAAACGAAAGTTATGGGGAAAAAATTGTTTTAAAAAAATAGTAAATAAAATGTATAAAAACCGTTATCAGAGGTTTGCTAAACCGCGCTGAACCTAACGCTGAATTAAAGATTATGAAATGCAAAAAAAATTTAAAACCCCTGTCAAAAATTGCTTTCAGAGTCCAAAGTTTTGAATGCAATTTTTCGAGTCCGTCTTCAAAACTAGATTTATAATATTAATTGAACCATTTTATGAAATTATTAAGGAACCCTCCAATTTTTAATTATTTTGGGAATGTCTTGATAAATTTTTTTCTACAAACTACAATGCAATTTAAAAGGACGTGCGATACACTCTTCTTAATTACAAAATATAAACCAGCATGCTAAGTGCAAAACGTAGTTTCCTCGCGATTTTCACAAATAAGGCTTTTACTTGTTGTCTTGTATGTTGACACCGCTAATTTTACATGAGGCATAATCAAATTATCACATAACGTTGTCGGCGCCGCTGTAGAAAACCTACTTCAAACGTGCTTCTGATTTTTGATTTTACACTAAAATTACTGAATTAACATTTTAAAGGTTATTGACGCACTGAAGCGTCTGTTGAAAACAAGGCGGTCCGACTTGCCAGTCAAATTATTAATTAGCAATTGCGATGAGCGTGTTGGGCTGTCGGTCAGCAACGTCACAAAAGCAAACATTAAGTAACTCTTCCTCTTCTTCGGTGTCGCGCGAAACCAACGAGTTGGTGTCAAAACAAGCGAGTATTAGTTAAAGGAGCACTCTCGGTGAAATATTGTGCTTATATTAGGCCGTTTTACATCAATGAGGTAAGTGCGCGTGACGTCAAATCGGTCTGAACAAAGAAAACGAGTCGCCTGATTGTTTGCTCTGATTCGTCTAGGCAGCGAAACCCCTTTGCAGACGCGACAGATGTTATGTAATTCACACCCAATTTCCTCCTTATCTCAAAGATGGCCGGGAAACAATCTTTCAATAGGGAATTGCAGCTCTTTTTTTATTTTGATGCACTCCAAAATTATCTAAACCGCAACATTGATGATATCGATAATAAAATATGATGTGCTTATTATAATTAAACAATTAATTATTATTTAATTATCATTTTTGTTTATTTGTCCTACAATAAGAATAACAATATAGAATTAATATTTATTAGTACCAATTCGAATTTCAATGAATTCTGTTAAAAAAATCATATTATATTTTTTTTTAATTTTCTAGTTTATGATAGTTTATGAAATCAAACTGTAACGTTTCGATCAATATTCTTTACGTATATATGGAAAGAAACTTATAAAATCATAATTAAACATTTTTTTTTAAATTTCCATTTACAAACAAAAATAGAAGCGTGTTATCATTATTAACTGTTTTTTTTTTCAATGATAACAGCTCTATAGTAATAAAATCATCCAATAAGAATGAATTACGCAAATATCTATAATAATATCCAATTTTAAATTAACTGAAACAGACTAACTGACTCTTTCTTTCAATTAGAAGCAACCCACAAAATAAACGAAATTTAATATTTAAAAAAAATGTGCATTATAAATACAAGTAAACATATTTTGTAATTTCTGTAATTTATTGTTAAATTTTAAACAAGTCAAATAATGTTTTATTTGTGGTTAATTGATCAATAGATGAATAATTTGGTGGCAATCAAAATGACTAAAACTTGCAAGAATTGCTTAAAGAACTCTTATTTGAAGTCAGATTTTTTTAATTACTGCAATTCCTTGAAGTTTTGTTTATGATAGAGAGATAAGGAGCTACACAGCAGAATCTGGAGGTATTTTGGAATTCATGAAGCAATCAATTGTCAACATATGACGAAACGCTATTTGCAAAACCAGGAGCATAGTGAAATGAAATGCTCTCGCTTTTTAATCACCTCGTCGCGTGTCTGAACGTTGTGCAAAAAACTGCGAATAAATTAAATTTCCGCAGACACGGAAAGCGTGCGTGTAATTTTTCATCAGTCGATCGCATTGTGCGAATGAAAAATTGCGTCGTTTTTTTTGCAGAATGCAAACACGCGTCGGTCAGAGCATTGTGTGCAAATTAATTTAAAGCCACATACCTGGAGTTTTGCAATTGCATCCGACCCTGCGAGGGTGGCCTCCTTCGGCCGCCATCGTCTCGAAGGAGTAATAAAAAATACCAAAGAAGAAGATTGTCAGATTGTCATTGTTGTGGCACAGAAAGGAACCACGCAGACATTGGCAATCGAATTTACATCTCTCAAGTGGCGAACAATGCGCGCGAACGCCTCAGAGTAAATCAGATTGACCCGCAGCCATCTTTGACCCCTTAACGTTATTAACCCCTGGCGCGTTCGCGTTTGGAATTTGTGCCGACAGTCAATTTGTCTTGACGGCTACGTTTGAATTGAGATGAATCGATCTTTCCTCCACGCAGTTCGACCAAAATGAGAGAATACTGATCATCACAATGCAATTTTCCATGTTGATTAAAAGTGATTAGAATTTTAAAATAATTGTTAAATTCATTTTCCATAATTATTTGTTCTTGCTTGAAGATTTTATATAATTTTGAAAATACTCTTAAATTGAACTAGGTGAAATCAGCCGTTGTGTTCACTTCTTTCCCGAGCATGATTTTACAGACAGCGAAGGTGCAAATTCCACCCTGGCCTGCAGCTTCAACGTTCTCGCTGTCTGATCGCAATTACTGTAGACGTTGATCGCCCCAGAGGCTCACGCGTCAATCGCTCAAGTCGTGACCGGCACGACGTGTCCGTCAAGTTGAAAGCATAACCAAATGTGATTATCATGACTCCGGGGGCTGCCATGTAAGGCGTTAATGCATATGCTAATGTGCGCACGTTGATATGCCGAATTATATTTCCAGTCCTCCACCCTCCCTGTTTCGTCACTCGGCAGGTCGTAAAAATGAGTTATCGCCAACTGAGTATTGACACTCCGACACTTGCTTGCTTGCTCTGCCAAAATTCGTCTCTTGCTCGCCGCCCCAAGTGTCATTACAGAGCTCAAACTTCATGTCAAATATTTTCCAAATGAAAAAATTCGACTGTAAAAAAGACAGTTTTTTTGTTATTCAGTTCTGATCTTTCAAATTTAGTTGTCTAATGAAATAATTAAAAAGCTTTCGATTCTCTGACGCCATGCTTTTTTTTTAAATGTTGCAGGAGGGTACCAGCAGATGACGATTCCTCGTGCAGTAGCTACTCGGACAGCGTCGGACCCCATGGGGGCACGTATCGACTGCCCCGGAGACAGCACTGGGCCAGCAAAGTGGAATTTGTGCTCGCCTGCGTTGGATACAGCGTTGGTCTCGGAAATGTCTGGCGATTTCCGTATCTCTGTTACAAAAGTGGAGGAGGTAAAATGAAAAAGAGAGCAAAAAAATAAGATTTTTTTACATTTTTTTTTTTTTTAATTTCTAGGAGTCTTTCTAGTGCCTTATTTTCTAATTTTGGTGATATGTGGCATACCCATGCTTTACATGGAGCTTGCCGTTGGGCAGTACACAAGAAGAGGACCGATCGGTGCCATTGGCAAGCTTTGCCCGCTCTTGAAAGGTAAATTAATAATAGTTCATATTTATTTTTTATTTTTCATTTAAACTTCAGTAATTTTTATTCAAGCATTGAATTTCCTTAAAATTTTCAGGAGCTGGACTCTCATCAGTCATAGTATCATTTATCATGTCCACTTACTACAATGTAGTCATAGCTTGGGCACTCTATTACTTTTTCACTGCCTTTAAATGGGACCAGCCGTGGAAAGAGTGCGGCCACCGCTGGAATTCGGATTCCTGCTGGTTGCCTTCGCCTCACGCCAACACCTCCAAACCCAACGACTCGCACACGCCATCGCAGGAGTTTTTCGAGTGAGTATTTTCTCTCTCTTTACATTCATCGTGATAACGAACATTACTGGTCGAAAAAAACACTTGATTGCTTATACAGCCTTTATCTCACTTAAGTATGAGGGTGCTGGTTATAGAATGATATGCTTGAGAGAACACCTAGCGGCTATAATATTTGCTTACAAAAGCTAATTGTGGTCTTTAATTCAAACAGCCGGCAGGCAAAGCGGCTGAAAGATATATAAGTGGTTTTTAATTGATTGATTTTATCAGTTGACTGCACGACTTTCAATTCTGCGTTAATATTATTTCTATAAACATGACGGACTGGTGCAGAAAGTTTGCAATGAGCATAAGCAACGCTTGTGATAAGAGATTGCCAGACTGATTCGGATTTATTGTTATTTTGCAATGCTTAAGTTTTGTGGTGGTTATATAAAAAAAAACTCGGACCTCTTGAAATTCTGCAGGCGTGTTTTGTGCATAAAGAATTTTCTGCAGCCTGTGAGAAAACCCGCTTTCCGAGTTGGAATGCGTGAATCGCCTTTTTAAAGAGAAGTAGCACAATGGTGTTCTTGTTAAGGAGCGATTTCTGTTTGCAGAAGCAACTGATAGTGTGTCTTGATAAGCCTATATTTGACTTCTCTGCGCAGACACAGATCCCAATAATTGCTTGTAAGGAGCAACAAGACTTATTTAGATATTGAATCATCAGTTTAAAGTTACAGAACTCCAAATGCAGGAAGCGTACGTTAGAAAAATACCAACACAATGTAGTGCAGTGTGTTGATTAGCCTCGAGATGCAAATTAATGCTTTTTCCGCGCGCACTTTTTTTCTTTCTGCGGATTTCTCAAAGTCGTTTGTGCGTGTGTCACTTGTGTAATTACATTAATTCAGTTACGGCCGCAGCTCTCACTAGTCAGGCAACGCTCAAGAATGCAGGTCGTCTCTTTACCTCACAATCACAATAATAATCATAACTCTTGACGCTTGTGTCACTTTAATAGCTGAATTTCCAACTGCTGCTTCTTCCCTGGCATGACAGGAAAGCATAAAAGCAGGCGTTAATTGATGTAACGAGTGGTGCGAATGAACAGTCAGTAATAATTATTTATTTATTTTGCTTGCCAGGTAGCCAGTCGTATTATGATGCTTTCATTAATCATTCAAACTCTGAGAACTAATCAATTTATCTTAATTGCGCCAATCGCAGGACACACTTATAAATAATTAATTTTAAAACCATTCATATTCAATATTAAAACAAATAATAATAATTTTGACAGTATAAAACGATTTATTGGAGAGGTTTCCATCTTTTTTAATTATGTTCCTAGCATTTTACTTTTTATAAGGCAGTAAAAGTTGCACTGATAAGTGATAAGAAAGCGTTACTTTGAAGTTTGGTGCTGATTCCGAAAAACTGCCACGAGCCAGTAGCTGTCGCGTCTCCAGAACAAGCCATGCGACTCGACTTAAGTGAGTCTGCATCAGACGTACCTAATATATCGTTAAGCATACCTTCGGCCGCGAATTACGATACACTTGGTGACAGCCACTGTATAAGTGTATATTTGTTCACTTTTATTGCACTCGGTTGCGGTAAATCTGTGTCTCCATCAACCGACCTTGATGGCTTCATATGAAAATAACTCTGTTTTCTCGTTTACTCCCTTTTTTTGCTATGTGTCTTGGCGTGCAATTTTGGCAGCGGGCGCCAGGCGCGACCACTTTTACCTGAGACGCCGGCCACGCACCGATTTTCAAAAAAATATAATTCTCCTCACGAGTCAAACGTGACAATCAAATGCTTTTAGCCACACCACTCTAAAAATGGCTTTGTGCCATGCATATTATTTACTTACAATATTGTTGGCCATTGGCACTGAAAAAATAATCGCAGGCTGTCGCCGGCGCCTCCAATTCGGGGAATTTTATCTTGTCTTGTCGCGACTTGAATTAAAATTTTGGTCAGACCATTTACTGTTTTATGTATTGCAGATTAAAGTGATTCTAATTCCACGCACGTTTTTACACTTAAGGCTGTTTCGGCGATCATCGTAGGGTACGCCCACTGAATTTGCAAATATTTTGAAAAAATGACTGCAAAATATTTCCAACAAATTTTTCTCTTTTATTTGCCCATTATAAGAGCTTTTATGAAAAAATTTTCCGACTTTTCCGGAAAATGGCTGAGTTATAAAGGGGTTTGCTTTTCCGCTTGTATCTCATTAAGTATAAGTCCTACGTTAAAAACGAGCATATATTCTGAATGCTGATAAAATTTCCAATATTTTTTACATTAACAATTATTTTCTATGAAAGGGTTAAGTACCCTGAAATCAGGGTCAAAAAATTTAGATGCCTGCCCCTGAAGGTATGCAACCGGAAAATTAAATCTGAGATAGCCAAAATTTGACGTCACTCATAGGCACAAACTTCCCCAAAGGAAATTATTTTTGCATTTTCCATTTTTGAGAAAATCCAAAATTTCCCAAAAAGGGTCAAATAGGGTTGGAAAATGCGGGAAAGCCAAGAAAGTGTGGTCATATGGCACATTGGCCGATTCGTTATCACATCCTTAATACGTGTCTAAATTTTCAGAAAATTTCATCTGCCCAAAAAAAAGTTACAGCCGATTTTCAAAAATAGCCCTATCTCGGAAGCAGGAAAACTAACAAAACCGTTTTATATCCATCAGCCAAAATTTAAAAAGGCAAGAAACATATCGTTTTTATGGTCTCATTCGAAAGCTATAGTGGCTAACTTCACGTTGGTACGAAAAAATTTCGGTTTCTTCTGACAGATATTGAGATATACCGGTTATTGTGTAATAAAAACCGGTATGGAAGTTCTAATTTCACCAAAATTCGGACTTTTTGCGACGAAAAACATGTATATTGTATAAATTTAGGTTTGTGCATTAGTTTATGATGGAAAAATACGATATTTATAATAATACCACTCCTCAGTCCAAAATTATAAGCATTTTTCAAAAATATTTTACATACCGGTATTTAATTAACTATTCAGAAAACCGGCCTAAAATCACCGACGTTGTGCGGCGCGATAATAATATTTTCAGAAAAAATAAAAATATATACAATTCTTCTGCGCCGCATTATCGTAGAAACACCCTTAAGCCTTGTTCCTTGATCGTATTTTTGCTCATTGCTGCAGGGTTTTTTTTTAAGAGTTTTTTTACATTAAATTTGTGTTTATTTAAAGCAAATTATATAATATACTATGTAATGCAGAAAAAGTATTACAAGGAAACTAAATCTACTCTCTATTCAGATAATTAAATAATTGTATTGATTTAATCCTTGCCAACAGATAAATCGCTCTAAAATTATTAAATATATGGTTTTCTAAAAATATTTTGATGTAAAAAAATTTAAAATTTTTAATAAGATAAAAATTTAATGCAAACATAATATTTTATGTAATAAACTATAAACTGCATTGGATAGTTAATTACAAATAATTTATATACCACTTCTAAGTAAAATCTCCATTATCATTACAATTATGTATGTATTTTCATTAAGTCAAGTTTAAACAAATTTTCCCCACACACAAAATAAAGAAAAATCTTCATGCAGTAACAATAAGGTGCGGTGACATGTGTTGGGACGTTTTGATTGTCTGAGTCGAGTGGAGGAGTCTCACTTTCAACAATAACTATAATTGTGTGTTTGTACCACACGATGCTCCTGTCCACATAACAAGACACTCTTGACAAGAAGATGAATCTTTCTCAGGCAGACACTTTACTCCTCCTCCTGTTTCGCCAGCAGCTCTATAACTAGATGCAAAGTGCACGGCGCGAATTGCAGCATCCGCGCTTCAACGATGGCACTCGACTCTTTCATGCATTATTATTTGCGGTGTGCGCGACGATTACGGCTCAATGAAAGAGATAATTACGATTGTCACTTGGGGCGTCGCGCGTGGTTGGCCATTATTCTTTGCCTGCTGCAGACAAGGCCGGTTGTCATTCTTTCCTAGCATGACAAGTATCAAAATGAATTTTCAAAACTCGATGAATATCACTTTGATGTTTTGTTATCATCAGCAGAGAAAAGTTGCACAAATGTAAAACAATTAAACTTGTTAATAATAATTTTGCTCTAAAATTATATTATAGTTTGAGATTCAAAACCAAACCTAATTGATAAATTATAAAACTAGGCGCCTAATGCTGGTGAGGCCGTTGCAAATTTTGAACCGAGGCGTGTGTGGTCCGCGTTTCATAATTGAGCTCTTTTATAATTTATTAGTTTTAATTCAGCGGGCCTACCCAAATCAAATTTGTCTTAATAAAACAACAATTAGGCCTTTCAAGATCAATTGCGACTGCGTAACAAATTGCGAGTAGAGGAATTCTTCACTGCCGATTTAATTCACCGCCTGGCTTTGTGCATGCGCGGTAATGGATTTTTTATTAATTGGACTGACCTTCCAAAACGAAATTCATCCTCAATTGAAAAACTATTTCTCAACCTTTCCCTAATTCAACTGACGTGTTCCTTCATCACTCTTCATTGTACGTGTCAAACTCCTGACTTTTTGCATCTTGTTTTTAAATTTAATTAAAGGAGGTCTGAACACGCATCCTTAAAAATTGGTATACCAAACTATCCTCAAACCACGGTTGAGGATAGTAATTTAACAAGGATAAAAAATTCCTCTCAATAATTTTTTGTAGTTGTTAAAATTAAAATAAAACTGTCGTTTCAAGATTGATAGTTATCACAACAGTTTACAGCTCTGCAATTTTCGTGGCCCACGCTTGAGCCTAAATATGCTAAACAGCATTTAAGTACGTCTCTTAACTGCATATTTTTTAGCCGAATCAAAGCAATTTTCCACTCGAGCAAAAACGGCAGCGCCCACGTCCCAATTAAACTAAAAAAAGAGTGAACGCAGAATGATAATTTCGCCAGTCAAGGCTACATAGGCAGGGGTTGGTCTCATCAATGAGTTAATCGGTTTCACGAGGTGACAATGCTGGTCATTTTACTTTGACCCGCTTACAAATTGAACGAGAGGCTTCACGCTCTGTACGTTTGCTCTGCGACAACCGAGCAACGCGATCCAAAGAGGAAACCGACCATTTACCATTTGAATGAGGAAACAGTGGGCGCCTCGCTCAACCAACGAATCATTCTCCTCGCGTGCATTACATTATGCAAAACAAGTTGTCGTTTGAAAAAGCCGGCTCAATTGTGCATTGCACTCTCGGTACACACTGCATGACTGATTCAAATGAAAAAATTTTATTGCAAATAAGGAATTAAATTTATGGATTTTCTTTTAATCTCATCAAATTTTGTCAGTTTTTTTTTTAAATTAATTTATTTGTTTCGTCATAAATTATTTGGATCAACATAATCCATCAGACAGCGTCTTTCACAAGCGTGTAATTAAACGTATTATTTACTTTCGAGTCAAGATTTATCTCTCTCGTTGTCAGTGACACTCAAGCGGCGTGCTCAAATCACTAGCTTAACACTGTGGTAACCAGCACGTGTGCTCTTGTCGGCTTAATGTCCCTTTGATTAAGTGTAACAATTTGTTTTGCATGCTTGCACAGACAAAAAGAAAGCGTTTGAATATTTAAAAGTTGGAGTGCAATTTTCCGCCTACAATATTTTATTAATTTGCTATTAGTTAAGTTGTAACAGTAAATTATATCAAAACAAAATGCATTTATTATGTTTTAACGAAAATTTCAGTCGAAAAGTCCTTCGGATGACCGCTGGAATAGGTGACTCAGGAGCCATTCGCTGGGAACTAGTTGCTTGCCTGGTTGTTGCCTGGTTGCTCGTCTACTTCTCGCTATGGAAAAGTGTCAAGTCTTCTGGAAAAGTAAACTTATTTTTTAGAAAGTTACCCTGTACTACTTTAAAAATTATTTTTAGGTGTTTTACATGACAGCCACTTTCCCTTACCTGATGATTTTTGCATTTCTCGCCCGAGCCTTGACGTTGGATGGGGCCATTGACGGGCTTCGGTACTTGTTTCAACCCAAATGGGAACTTTTGGCTGAAGCAGAGGTTTGTGATTTAAAATATGAATTTGACTGGAAATTTAAAAATTCAAATATGTAGGTCTGGATTAACGCTGCCGCTCAGATTTTTAACTCAATGGGCATTGCTTTTGGTTCTGTGATATCGTTCGCCAGTTATAATCGATTCAATAATCAAATTGTATTTGACACTTTTGCTGTGTCTCTGGTCAATGCAATGACAAGCCTCCTGGTTGGCATCTTTGCCTTTGCAACCATTGGCAACATCGCCTGGGAGCAAAACACCAGCGTGGATAATGTAGTCACTGATGGTGAAAATTAATCTGTGCCAAAGTGATCGTTTTATTTTAATGAAATTGTTTATAGGGCCTGGGCTTATATTTGTGGTGTACCCGCAAGCACTGGCTCAAATGCCGCTGTCACAACTCTGGTCAGTGCTCTTCTTTTTCATGCTGCTGTGCCTTGGACTTGATAGCCAAGTGAGTATTTAAAATTTTCAAATCAAAAGTTTTTTCACTAATGAATTCTCCGGCAGTTTGCTATTGTTGAGGTGGTAGTGACTTCTATTAAGGACGGATTTCCCAATTGGATTAAGCGCCACCTTAAAAGCCATGAAGTGGTCGTTTTTGTGGTCTGTGTGGTTTCTCTGCTCTTTGGACTACCTAATGTTACACAGGTTCATAATATATTTATTTAAATAGGGTAATTTGACAATAATAATAATTTTAATTTTTTAGGGGGGAATCTACTTTTTCCAACTGATTGATCACTATGCTGCCTCAATATCAATCATGTATGTTGCCTTTTTCGAAATAATTGCGATCTCTTGGTTTTACGGTGCTGGCCGTTTGGCTCGTAACGTTCAAGAAATGACAGGCAGACTTCCATCCCTCTACTTCCGATTCTGTTGGTGGGTTGCGTCACCTGTTCTCCTCATTGTAAGTGAAATTGGACTATGCTAAAAAGAGTGTTTTCTAATTTTTTAATCAATATGCCTACCAGGCCGTTTGGGTGTTCAGCTTAATTGATTACAGTAGACCAACCTTCAATAATGGCCTCTATGTGTACCCTGCGTGGGCGGAAGGAATTGGCTGGACCATTGCCTCCCTCTCACTAATCTCCATTCCTCTAATGGCAATAATTGTGCTGGTCAGGATGCCAGGAACATCATTTTGGGAGGTAAAAAATTGTTTTATTTTTTCTTGTGTTCTTTTTGTAATTTATTTAACCTTAACTTTTAAATTAAACATTTTTAGAAACTTCGCAACTCTGTAAAATCTCACATTTACGAATGCCCAATCTGCGAGTCTTCTGATTACTGTGAGCATATGCCAGGGGATGAGAGACTGACCGACCCCTTGGCAATGGAGCTGACTGAGAAAGCAGCCCCTGCAGTGCCAGCATCTATGACGAATGGACTTCCTAAAGTTTGACCAGGACAACATTTTTTAGCTAAAAAATATTTTGCTAATGATCGCATTAAGATTATTGATTGATTCATCACAAGTAGTTTTACTCATTGTAGACTGATTCAAATTTAAAAAGTTGCAATATATTATATTAATAAATTACTGTCATTCATCATTCTTTAGTGTGTAAGGCTAATTTTACATAAATTTTGTTTCTATTGCCCACGTTGATTTAAAGTCAAAAACCAAATTTTTATTTTGAAATAAAAATTACACAACGCGTAATGACGTTTCTGATAAAAATTTCAGAAGAAATTTGAAACAATTTAGTTTGTGAATATATTAATTAGAAACATTATTTTTATGAACATAATCTTGTAGGATCTATAGTGTATAGTGAGAATGCTTTTGAGCAAAGAAAGGCAATAAAATATTGTTGTACTCTCTTGAAAGAATAAGTTGTTTTGTTTTTGTATTTTCCCTTGTTTTCTATAACAAAATAATAAAAGTGTAAATTAGGGTGTATAAGAAATTGACGAAAACTAATTAATTTTTTTTTTTTTGTTATAAATATAATGTAACTTCAATTATTATTTTTAACACTGTTGCATTTTTTTCGGGACCCGCGTCGTGAAAAAAATTATATATTAATGAACCATTAAATCGCGCGTCTAAGACTCGCAGAAGGTCCACTTTTGCATTTTGCGATGGTGGGGAGAGGGGTTGAATATTTTCTTTCCCTTGCCAGTAGATGGCGCGAAATCTGTAGGGGATTGAAATGGCGTCGAGGTAGAAACACTTCACGAATTTTATGGATTTTTACATTCTCTTAGAGTGGCAGGTAATTCCCATCACATTTCTTCCATCTACACATAACTGCTTAATAGTCTGTTTAAAATTCGCGGAAAATCACAAAGATCGTCGTTTGCTAAATGTGTGAAGAGAACCGGTCGAGAAATTTTTCATTATCTTGAGCCGCATTTGAATTAATTTTACAATGCTTCCTCGTCTCTTTGGTCCTTAATTAGCACGTCTATTATACGAATTAATTCGCCTTACATCGTTCTTGCTTGCAATTTAATCTCTAAAGCCTATTTAGCGTAAAATTCCGGTCTTTTCAGCTCACGTGCACGTCTTGTGTTTACACCAAAAGTATGCAACCTGAGACACACAGCTACGTTGGGGTTGCATATATTTACGATAATTAAATTTGATTTTTGTACAACTTTTGCAATTATGATTAATAATTTTTTTCCCTTATATTCCGACAGAATTAATTAAAAATGAAGAAGGCAATAGGCACAGTAGCCAATGGGATGGACAACGCTGCAGACAAAACAAAACACACCTGCGTTCTTTGCAACACAGTTCTTCCGACAAAAGAGGAACTCCAGGTCCACTTCAGGTAGGCTATTTTTATCTCGTTAATTTCAAAGTTTCATCGATTTTTTTTCTCTAGAAAACACGCCAATAAAGAAATCGACTATCGAGGACAGCCGATGAACAAAAGGTTCATCGTGAAGCCAAATCCTGAAATTAAACCAAGCAAACTTCCTGCACTCCCTAAACCTGCACCTTCTGCAATTCCAGTCAAAAATGATCCACCTAAAAAGACTCCAGTAATCATAAAGTCATCTACTGTTTATGGTACCAAGCTGAAGCAAGTGAGGTTGATCCATCAACCTGAAGTCAATCTAAAGGATCCTTTGGCTGACAAGGAACCTCCAGTTCCTGTTGATAAAAAAGTGCCGAAGGCTATAGAATGTGATGTGTGTCACATGCAGTTTGACACGGTTACTGTTGCCATCCAGCACAAGTTCCGCAAACACCCGAACTCCAGCCTAAAGTATTACTGCAAATTTTGTGGGATGCAATTTCCATTAAAAGTAATTTGAATTATATAATTTCATAATCTATACTGTCTTAATTAAAATTTATAGCACAGTTAAATGAATTTTAAATATTTTAATTCACAATATATAAAGGAAAAGGAATTTTATTTTCTCAAATTCCTTTTCCACGTCATATATTGCAAATCGAATTAGAATTAAAGATGTATTAGAGTAATATAATTAAAAGGTGTCATTTTTTACTTTAAATTTGAATAATTGATATAATTTATGATTACATAATAGAAAAAAATTAGTATCTAAACATTTGAAAAGATAAATTTAATAAATATTCCAATTTTCAGTACAACCAAGAAGCCCACCTTGAGAAAGAGCATATTGGAGCCATTGATAAAGGAGAATACCCATGTGATGATTGCAAAGTTACCTTCAAAACTCCTGAAGCCCATGCTTATCATATTAAATCAACACATAAAAGGTTATTTTTTGTGAAATTAATTTCATTCTTCCTTAATTTTCTTAAACTTTTAGGATTGTGGCATTTTTCAAGCCAATAGTAACCCCACCGCCAAGTAAGAAAATCAAAGTGAACAATGCCAGGGAGGCTCAAAGTGTCTACTATTGTCATCTCTGTGGCTTTGAATATATTGTCAAATTCAACCTTCAAAAACACCTGGAGCGTCAACACACTGCCGAGGAACGAGACAGCATGCCAACGTATGTAGAAAATGCTCTATTTATTATTATTTTAAAAAAAACCTTTCAGATCCATGATGAAGTGCACAACGTGTGATGCGTTGTTCTACAACAAGAAAGCTTATGATAACCATAACATGTACCACCGTCCAGATGACCTCTATGTCACAAGTGAAGAACAACGACTGCAGACAGTATCTAGAGTTGACCAAGACTTTGACATCCGCCGAGTAATCCAGCCTGTCGACAAGTACATGGCTAAAGTTCGAGCATTCAAGAGGTCGGGAAGACCCCGAGAAGTCAGAAAGCAGCCCTCATTTTCAAGTCTCAGCGATTCAGAGCTTTCTCCAGCCTCAACCCCACCAACTTCTGATTCCGAGGATGAACCGGAGTTGGGAAAGTCCAACAGTAGGAGTTCCGAAGCAACAGACGAGCAGAGGAGTGCAGAAATTGCTCTTCCTGAAAATGGAGTGATTGAAATTAAAGAAAAAGATCTTGAGCTGCCGAAAAGCAAAAGCCCTTCTCCACAACCAGTCACTAAAAAGGCCAAGCTGAAATCACAGGCTGAACCTATACATCAGAACACTGTGCGAGTAACTAGAAGCAAAACCAGGAGTTAAAATTTGTGAATTATTTGCCTCGGTGTTTTAAATGCGATAATGTTACAAAATTATAGAATTGTGTGCCATTGCAATTAACCAAACAGAAACTACTGGTGCCACTATAAATTTAAGTGCTGTTAAAAAAATTATAAACTTGAAATGTTTTCCCGTTTCAACCTCTTTCCAACGTTCCTTAATTCATTGCACTTTGTAGAATACTCGGACCTTATTCCATTGATGTGCTTGAGTCGCCCCATATGCGTGCATACATAATATGAATAAGTAAAGTACTAAGTACTAGTGTTTGAAAAATTATCCACTTAATAATAGAGTGATAGAATATAGATGTCATTTAAAATATCAGTCAGTTTCAAACCAGTCATGCATTTAAATATGGGGAAGAGTTTTACACAATGAAAAATCCAAAAATCAATAGAAAATGTATGATGTAGAAAATGTATTATTGTGTATTGCCCTTTGTGAGGGTTTCCCTTTTGACCCTGTGTATAATGAGATGAATAAATTCGAGATTGCAAACACTAAATTACCGAATTATTAAATTTTTTCCAATGACATACTCAGACATACTTTTGTAGCTGATTATGAAACTGAAAATATTTTTCTTTTCATTTTTTGTCACATATAGAAGAAAGGAATAATAGAAAAATGATTAAATGATGCAATTTATTTTAAACAATGAAAGATTTCCTATTATTATTTATTTTTAAATTAATTGCACCATTTAATCATTATTTCTATTATTCACTACACAATAATGTATATGATATTTTGGATAATACTATTTTTATTTTGTTAAATCTATATTTCGTACTTTTATTTTAGTAGCCTCTATATTGAAATTTGGTACAAAATAAAATTAATAAACGCATTACAAGAGATAACATTTTTTATGCTATTATATTATGAATTTTGCAAATAATTTCTTTATAATTAAATTATAATTTCTTTTGTTCGACATTATTTTTTATTATATAATTTAAACAATAATTTTTTTTTGTGTAGACAAGGAAGAAAACATTAACAAACAGCAAGGGTTTGCTCTTTTGCAGAATTTATTCGATTAATTTTGTTACCTTAACAGGGATTTTGTAAGGATATATTACATAGATGTATATGACTAGAACTATCGCAAAAATTGAAATATTCTTGAAAAGCAAGTTTTCTTTCTTTCTTTCGCCGTGTTTGAGACGGAACCGCGGTGCCCGCGGTGATTGTCTTTTTCTTGCCGGCGCTCTTTTCCCCATGCTGTACTCAACCAATGAGATCTTATAATTCAAAAAATCTTTTTGTTGAAACAACGAATCATCGCGTGGTTCCAAGAGGGGGCGCGGTGAATGCACCAATGGCATGCCTCGAATTTTGACAACACTAGCGCTCCTGTTTTCAAATCTTCAACGATCTCATCTCGTCGCGTTGTTTACGTTCCGCGAATTTGAAGGAGCGGAGAATGTTGAGGTGACAAAAGTGGAATCACGGTCCAAATTTTCGGAAATGGACACGATGATGGTATGTTTTCAATTTAAATAACGTCTCTGTATTATTTCATTTGCATCAAATGCTGTGTTCCTTTCAAAAAACTGAGTTTTATGCTGAAATTCCAAGTTAAAAACATGCTTGACGCTGGACCAATTTTTATGACGGATTTTTACTTTCAATGAGATTGAATCAGTTGCAAAAGCTCGTACAAAACTTTAAAAATGTTTTATTTTTGAACCAATAAGCACGAACTTTCTTTTTTTTCCAATTCTCTGTTTAAAAAAAAATCGTGCTCAATTACATTATGCTTCTTGTATTTATACTGCATGGACTTGATTTATTCTCAATTTAATGCATTTATGATGGCCTGCTTCCTGCAAGTTAATTTACTTTACTTTACACACATTCCATTTCACAGCTGCAGTTAAATTGATTTGAGATCGTTTAACAGTCTTTCAATTCAATCAAAGTGCTCTCTTGCTGTGCAGCATTAAAAGTCAATTTATTTAAAGCCCGCAGGCTATGTACATATATTCTTTAAGCTAACAGGCGTTCAAAGATCGCCACTTATTTTACTATTAGAATGAAAATTACTTTGCCTTTTCAGAACCTGTGGAAGGATGGGCTTGCGCCGCTCAGCACTCACTCGCCTTTGTTTCGGGGCTTCGGACAAACCACAGACTTCAAGTCTCCCGAGAACAGTTCGATGGAGGACAGCGGCTATTCAACGTGCACGTCGACCCTGTCTGTCGACAGCTGCAATGCTGTGATAACAAGTCAATTCAAGACGCCCTGCTGCTACACCGAGCGCAAATCAAGCAAGAGGATCATCTCCGACATTCCTGCCAGTAAACAAAGCATAGACGGCAAGCAACATGTCAACTTCCTCGAGGCGCTAAGCCAGCGGGACATATTGGACGAGGTGCTGCGCTTTTTGTCACCCGATGATCTCATACGCTGCTCTCTTGTGTCCAAGTCGTGGAAAGGCATTTTGGAGGAGAGCAGAATATCAAGGACCAAGAGAAGTGTATACTTGTCTACGAGAACATTCAATAACAAGGAAAACTTAACGAGGGTAATTATTAACAAAATTTAAAAATAAATTCAAATACTTATTTACAACAGTGCTTTGAAAATTCGTTCATTAACCACCTTTGGTACCATTAAAATGCAAAGTAGTATAAGAATTTATTTTAATTAATCAGATTTTAAAGCAATAAATTTTTTAACTCCCAATTGTAACATCAAATTAATAATAAAAAAAAAATTAAATTTCCGGCAAGAAACCCCACTGAGTTTTTTTTCTAATTTTAAATTCTATTTAATTTTAGAATTATTGATACGGACCATGAAATTAAATTTTCTATTTAATACTTTTAGAAACTTTCTAACATAAATTATTGTTGCTTGTTTTGCAGCCTGGAGAGTTAACAACTAGAAAAGGCCAAAAGCGATTATGGGAACGTTCGACATCATCTACTCCGTTGGCTACGATCACTTCCTCTAGACAGCTCAACTTCAGCACGCCTGTGTCTTTGCCTGTCTCACCCTCCAAGGTGCCACGAATCGACCGATTTGAAGTTTTCCGTGAGGCAGGCAATTCGCTACGCAGTGGAGAATCGCAAGTCTCATGTCCACGGTGCTCCTTCCCGGCCAGAAATAAGACCAACTTGAATCTCGGCGTGTGCACCAATGGCAAATGCCGGTTTCAGTTCTGTCTGAGCTGCCGATGCGAGCAACACACCGATTCAACTTGTATACTGCTCCGGTCACCTGAGAAACTTCGACACCGAAAAATCACCAAGCAAAGTTATCGGCGGAACATGAGGCGACTGTGAAATTGCCGTACCCTCGCTCAACTACTTACTTATGTCTGAGGTTCTCGTGGAGAACCATTTTTTGGCCCTGTCGAGAGAGGAGCTCTGAGTTTTGTACCTGACTGTGATTGGCCTGCAGAATTAATCCCGTTGCTTAATTGTCCGTAAACTCAGACCGTCTTCGACGAATTTTGTAAAATGTTGTAAGATATTTCTGCAGAATGCTCTCTTCTTACTTAACTGTCCACAACTGGATTTAATCCATGACGAGTCTCGTTATGGCCCTGCAAATGCAGTCACTGCACTCTTGCCGCCAAATTTGCCCACTTAATAAGCATCACTACTTCATCCTGCATGGCTTGCCTTGCTCAGTATATTTGTGGGGCCAAGAGATCAGTATCAATTATTGTTTTATTTTGTTTATTTTCTGAACAACTTTTGCATTTATAAAATGCTCAACGAATCTCATATTTGCCAGAATTGCATTTCTTATCTGTAGGATTTTATTGAAAAACTGATTGTGTTAGTATTATATGTTCTCTTGTATTAGGGAATCAGTATTTTAAATGATGTATTAAATTATATAATATGATCCATGTCAATTGTGAGAGCGTTTGTATCAATTTGGAGTTTAAAGACTCTTGCTTTTTTTTAATTTTATACAAATCTCAACTGCTATGAAACTTATAAATGTCAACACCTACACCCTTTTAATAATCTAGTTATGCCTTTTTGCATTTTGAGGTTTAAATATTCTGAAGACTGTAAATAGTTTATTGTACATTTTTTGTAAAAAGATTTGTAGTTTCAAGACACGAACAACGAAACAGGTTGCGAGGCACTCCTCTAGAGTGTAAAGAATAAAATAATATATTTGAAATACAATTAAATATTTTATTTTATTTTAGTTAACAAGATTTGCCATGAAAAATTCCAGGTCATTTCAGAAATGGATAAATAATTTAATTGGTTATTATATTTTCGAATTTAATTTAATTATTTTCGGTTGTCAACATCAACACTAAAAAGAAGTATGATTGTAATATACATAATTTAATACTATGCCTTCCCGCTCTTGTAGGGAGATAGGAAAGGGGTGTGACGTTAACATACACAAGTGGGCGGGCAGGGCAAGGGCATAATATCCGAAGAAAACAACAACTGCTGGTGCTGCACACAATTATTTAAAAATTATTGACAAGGCTATTAATTTGCAATAATTTTCAGCATAATGGAGCAGGAAAAAAGCTGCGAAGAGGCTAAGCCCAAAATGACACGCGATGAGTATTTTGCGGCCCTGGAAAAGTGGCTGCAGGACGCTTATATGTGGCAATGTATGAACGCCTGGTTCCCTTACATGTTGATGAACCAACAAGTCAACCAGCCGCAGAGCAGGACAGCTCCAACTGCACCTGCACCACCTGGGGCGATGCCCTTTCCGTGGCAAGCAGGTGCCCAGGGATTTCCTAATGCCAATGTTCCTCCGACAGTCATTGGTGGTCAGAGTGTACCTCAGCAGCCTCAAGGTTGAAAACATTTCCCGCAATTGTTTTAAAGGATGAGATGATAAATATAAAATTTAATTCCAGGAATCGAGTGCCAAATTCCTCCAATGTGGAAAAGATTTTTTGCCGAATTCCTTGACTTCCTCATCTTATTCTCCTTGAAGATGATTGTAACCTTAGTCGCAGTTGATTTATTCGAGCTCATGTATGTACCACCATTGTCCACACACACACAAAATTCATTAATTAAAGTTGAAATTTTTTGCAGAGATATTGAGCAATATGATTTTATGCGACTCCTGACAATGGACACGCAAAATAAAATGGACTACAACATGGCCCTGAAGATGACAACTGAAATTCTAGTGCTTGAAACCATTCACAGAATTGTTGTTTGCATTTATGAGGTAAATATATAATTGATATTGTATCTCAAAAGCATGAATATCCATGTCATCTTTAAAGGGGTTTTGGCTTGCACAAGGAGGAGTTGGTCTTGGAAGAATTGGAGGAGCCACTCCAGGAAAGAGCATAATGGGACTATGTGTTGTTAACTGCTCCTCTGTAGCCAGTGGTAGTAAAAATTTAGTCATAAAAATATTAATTTTTAGCCTTTAAAAATTAGTTCCAGGGCGTACAACCGTTCTAGTTAACCCAGCTACAAGACTGAACCTCGGAGTAGCCATTGCACGATCGATCATCAAAAACTTTGTCCTTGCGTTCTTCTTTCCCATCTGCTTTACGTCCCTCATCTTTCAACACAATAGAGCTATTCATGACACATTATGCAAAACAATTGTTATAGAGGACCCAGCTCCTCGTCGTAGATTTGTGTGAAACGTATTAATTAGTCCTATCTCCGTCATTATTGTATCCATCATTAAGTTTTTGTGATATATATTATGTATCTTTAAATTATTAAAATTAATCGACTTAAGATCATTTATGAAAATTAAGCCGTTTTATTAGAATTTCATCAGAAACCTACATGAACATATTATCAAAGTTCGGGGCACCAGGCATTCGCATGTGGTCAGGGTCTGGTCCTGATCTCCTTCCAGGCATTCCAGGCAAAATAGGGTCAAATCTGGCACCAGGCGGAACAGCTCCTCTATAAAATTGCAAATAAGTAAATTATAGAAACAATTTGCTTTTTTTAAACCTTGGAAGCATTCCTGGACCAGGGAAGTCTCTGTCGGGAAGAGGAATTCTACCTCGAGGTGGTTCCATCAGCATTCCACCACCAGGGGCGCCAAAAGGAGCAAATGGGTTCAAGTCTCTGTCTCCAACTCTGAGAGGATCTGGTATGGTAGGTCTACAAGAAAGTTTTAAATACCTAAAGGCTACTTAATTAAAATGCATACTCTCGATAAAAGATTTCAGGTCTCCCAGGGTGCATGAATGGTATGTTGGGCTCAAATCTTTCCCTCTGTGGCTGTGGCTGGGCATCTGTTTGTACTTGCATGTCACGCTGGCCTTCACTCTTGGCTGGCTTTACCATTTCAGTCCTGCGAGGAAAAAAATTATAAATAAATACAGCAATTGAAAATTAAAACTGTCATAAGTACCAGATTTTGCAAAAGATGTCTTTCTCATTTGGAATTATTGTTGAAAGGGATCCACTGATTTCCTTAACCTCGGACACAGGAATCACTATAGACTGTGTTTTCTGAGAATCCATGTTCTAAAATCATTATGGAAAATTATTTTCACAATTCTTATTCTGTTTGGAATGCTTGCCAAGAGGTTGATGGAAAGAACATCAACAATCAAATTGGAACTAAGATGATATTTTGCGTTGTTGCAATAATATCGGATCCTGTGGTTTTCAGACTCTTTGTTCCAGCCTGGGGTGAGCAGTTCAGATGTTTTTGTTGGTGAATACTGTAAAAAAAATTATGATTAGTTAATTATTACAAAAATATAAGCTTAATTAATTTTGTTATAAGCAGGTCATTGCAGGTCATAAGCAAATAATATTTATTTAAAAATTAACTATTATATGTACCTACATATTTGCAGATTTTGAAAAATTAATCAGCTAGAATAGAATAAAATTCCAAGTAAACTGTTTAATGTTTAAGATCTCACAATAACATAATAATGGAAAAAATGCATTATGTATGTAACTATGTGTAATGTATGAAAATGCATGTAATGTGTTTCATTGCTCTTTAAATTTATCCAAAATTTTAAATAATTTATGTGCGGTGAAACAACTAATACATAAATTTCACCCTGCCTGCAAAGTGAATTAATTTTTTGTGCAAAATACATCGCGACTGCGCAAAAAAATGTTGTTAAACCTGAGCATCCTCTTCATGAATGCAGAGAAAGTCATTTTTGATGAGGATCAAGTGAACCATCAGCATCAAAATGTCCTGTTTTGTTTTCACGTTATCTTTTTCAATGTGGAAAAGCAACTCCCAGCAAGATCCAAGCGATAATATTTTCGACATAGCCTGCTGAGTATCGGGGTCGAGTTTTTCCACGATCTTTTCCATTGTTAGCTGCAAAGTGCCACTTGCTGATTGTTGTCAGGCGGTATAGATGCTGGCAACACAAAAAATTCGCTGCAAAAGCCAAAAATGCAAAATTTCTGCCGAATCAGTCAGACGAGAAAGTTCGTGATGCGCTGCAACAAAACAAAACTATTTGTGGGCGTTGCTAACATTAAGTACAATGAACGATCGAACGGTGGCGCCCAAGGATCTTTAAAGAAGATGTTCGAAGATGTTTTTTCTAAAAGATCCGTTTTATTAAATTGCTGATTGCTCTTATGATCTCTCATCAGCTCATGAACCTTATAGTAAATCAATGCAACAGTTTCAAGTTTTAATTCTTAATTAATTTTCTGTAATAATTTTTCTAATTTTTTTTAAACATTGTATTCTTTAACGTCAATAAACTTTTAAATTAATGGTATTTTTTAGAAACTGAATTTTTTGAAAAATTCCCAAACTACCGTCTAAAAATTCTTGAAGGATTTAGACCGATACATATTTCGCTATATAATATTATCTTATTATTTATTTTATTTTTATTATAATAATTAAGATATCATGCTGCTTTGGCGCTAAAAATATTTAAAAAAAAATATATCGTCGCGTTGGCCGAGAAGTGGGCGTGGTGAACCACTTTTGGCACATCTACGTCAACAGAAAAGAAAGGACCGATCGCGAACAGATACCCGAGCAAGTTTTGGCTTTAGAAATCGAACGGAGCTGTTCTTTTATTAAACGTGTCACTCTTGGCAAGTAGACAAAATCGCTATGTCCTATCAGTGGGAAGTTGTCGGAGGAGGTAAAAAGGCCAAGGCGGTGAACGGTCAACAGAACAATAAATTGACGAAGAGCGAGAAGAAAAAATTTGTCGAGAATGCCCCAAAGGCCGAAGACATACGTGAGTGACAATTGTCTCAATTTTGAAATTATTGCAGTCTTTTCACTTATGCACTTGTTTTCAGTGCCCTTGGTCGAGGTGCAAACTCTATACTCCAAATTGGACAGGAAGAAGAAGCCCAGCCGTGATGATTCCTCAGAGAGCAAGCAGAATAATCAGACCGGCAATGGTAAATCAGCAGGAAAGGCGCAGCCTGAGGCGACCAAGCCACCGGCTGCAAAGTCCAAGAAGCAGACTCCTTCTCCTGCAAAATCTGTCAAGGAAGAGTCTCCTGAACAAAAAGCTAGGAAAGCTCTTAAAAGTGTGGACGTGTCGGAAATCAGTGCCTTGGTTGAGTCGGGCAAGCAGCAATACGAAGAGGAACCTTCAGTTTGGCTTCGGTTTTTGGCCTCTAGCCTGACCTCAAAACTTACTCCTGTGGTTTGGAGCTACTTGAACATCGAAGATTTAAAATCGTCCATTCTGGAGCTCTGTCCAGGAGAACTGAAAAAAATGCTCACTTCGATTGTCAAAGAGCTGGATCCTTTGATTCAACAAGCCTTTTACGAGAACTGTCTCAGTGCCATCGCAAATGACATAAGCAAAGGTAAAATTTAAAAAGGAGCTATGCATAAATTATTAAAACTGTTTAAAACATTTGTTTTACTTGCCCATTGAATAAATAAAATTAACAGTGCTCCTATAATTTTTCAGAGCTGAAAGTGGATGGCTGGTTGCTCTTAATTGAAACATTGTCCCATGTGTCTCCAGACTTGGCTGTGAACAACCTTGCTCGATATGAATCTATCATGGTTTCATATCAAAACAGACCAGTGGTAGGTAAAACATTGCTTTGGGCTCTTGGCCAAGCTGGAATGAGAAATCTGGCCATCGGAGTCAAAGGTAGAGCAATATTTAAATTAAAGCGATTTGGCCAGTGAATTAACTTTGATTTTTTTTCAGTTTGGCATGCGATTTATTGCCCCAGGTCTGAGACAAAAAACTACTCAAAAATTGTTATTGGCCACTTTTGCACTATGATCCAAGTAGCATCAACGAAAAGCAAGAACGTCGCTGACAACACCATTAATATTGAGAAATACCGAAACTTCCTTCAGCAGCTCACTTCAAAACCACTCATTGACCACCCTCTGACTGATCCAGCCTTCAAGTCCTTACAAGCAAATTTAATTGATTATTTATAACACTTTTTTTATAAACGATATTATTTTAGCTGCTTGCTGTAAAGACAATCAGCCTGTCTGTTATTTTTGAGGAGCTCTTCAACCAGTTTGAGGGAAGTCACTTTGTTGATGGTGACAAAGCTATGAAGCAGGTAGATAAAATTATTCATTGATCATTGAGGATAAATACATGTTTTTTAATAGGTTATGGAAGGATTGACATGGTGCCTTAAAAAAGACGCAAAGGAGGCTGGTCTCGCGTGGAATACTATTTTGGGCAACAAAAGTTACTCAAAAGCCTTTGAAACAACGTATCAGCTCTTAAAGCATATCCGTGAGTTTTTTTATTGTTGCGCAAAGATAAATAATTAGTTTTTGGGTGCCAGAATCGTCCTGGAACAAGAATAACAAAGACCTGGAGAACTTGGCTTCTGACGGAAGCTTCAGAGAGGGATTTGAGTCTGCCCTGAAAAGTGTCCAGAAAAAGTGTGAACCCCTGCAAGATAACACCAAGGTGCCTGCTAAACAATGCATCCAGATTTCTCAGGTAAAATTTTACTTTTTGCTTTAAACTTTCCCATTATAGTTTCTTAAAACAACATTGTTTTAAAATAACTAATCTTAAAGACTTCTAAATTTTATCGGTTTTTCTCCACGACATAACTAGAGATTTTTTTAAGTGTTTTATTACATTTTAATAAAACTGCTTTTTTTTGAAAAAGTTTCAAGTTAATGAAATAATCAAAATGGTATATTTATAGGAGCTCTTGTCACTCAATATAAGTTTGAAGTACATAGTGATGACAGAAAAATTAAAATATATATATTAAAATAGAAAGTGTTTTACACAGCAGTAGGTCATGACAATTACATAACGCTCTGATCACAGATGAACTGTTATTCTGTGGCTCTAACTTATGATGGATTTGATTTGAGCCAACAAAATCTAGTTCTAGTTCCGAGGGTTGTTTCGAGCGCGCGCATTTGGCAGAGAATTTAAAACATATTTATAAGATCTACCAACATGACAAAAGGCTATCTGATATTGCAGTTTCATTTTGCTTTTTATATAAACTGTAAAAAGCATAATTAAAAATTGAAGAAAATATTGCGGCGTTCAAACGTTATTTTAAAATAAAATTGTTTTGAATTTTTTTTAGTAATATTTAATAATTGAGATTTTGGCGCCAATATTTTTATTTAGTTGGTAAAGTAACTCTCTGTAGCGTCTCGCTTTACAGTACACACGAGTTTTATTGTTATTGATTTCTTGGCGAAAGGCAATGTTTTTCTAAAAGAAATGCTCTTTTAATTTTAACTGACTAAACAAAAAGATTACTTCAGAAGTTCTTTGACTGCGCTTTCAGACAGTGTACGATCAAGCGAGGTAACTTTGGATATTGTGGAGAGAAACATAAAATTTTGGAACTCTTGAAGAGCCTATTTTTGTTACACTTTGTTGCCCCAGGCCGGTTCCTGTAAATTGCTTTTACAGGTTCCTCATTATCTTGTTCCACGTATTAATATCAGTTGGATTCTAGGCCAAAATTAATATATAGCTGGTATTTTCTTTATTTCAATTCAGGCTACTCCCCTCTTAAAAGCAATACACAATTTTATTCCAAAATAAGTTGGTGTTTTAATTTTTAAATTTTGGATAATTTTTGTACATACTTGCAGAGCCTCGTCAATCGCCTTAAGAAGATTCAAATTGAAAGCTCCAGCAAAATGAGTGGATTCCCTTGGAAGACTGCAAATCTGATTCTCATCATAGCCATTTCCTCAATTGTGGCGTATGATGTCAAGATTCATGATGGATTTGAACGTAAACAATTAGTTGCAATGATTTTCAGAGGGGATTTTTTAAAAAAAATTATTTCAAATTTTAGAGTCCAGTACAGGAATTTTCCTAAAAAATATTGGTGCTCTTCACTATGGAGAAATTGCGTTGAACAAAACCAGAGAATATTACCAAGTCGCCTACAAGTGAGTTTATAATTTTTATGATTTCAAACATCTATTAACTCATAAATAATGAAGATGGAGCGAAAAGGAGATTCCTCCTGTTTGGAACAAGTATGGAGCTCCAACTTGGCAGGTTGCAAGAGAGCAGAGCCTCAAACTTTTTGAAGCTTCTAAAACTTTAGCTCTTAACATTTCCAACTGGGCTTCGGAAACATGGCCAAAAGTGGTATCAACGGTATGTTATAAAATAATTTGATATTGCTTTCATCACTCTTTAATTTGTTATTAGATTGACGAGTACGCCCCTGGTCTGACAGACAAGGTTGCCGAGTTTGGCAAGATAGGCTGGCAATACACAAAAGAGTTTGGTCAGATTGGATATGCATACACCTTGGATGGAGTTTCGTGGGTCAACAAGAATGCTTTTGGGTAAGTTTTTTTTTTAAATTTTTCATTTGCAGGATTTATAAAACGCGATTATTTCAGTGGCCAACTTTCTGCCGAGTACTTTTCTCAAATGTCTAGTGCCGCCTACAACGCTTCGCACGCATTAGCAGTGGAAACATACCAGTGGATCTCGCAGATGGTCTTGCCTCTGAAATCAAATGCTGTCCCACCAGTAAAGAGTTCATAATCGAACACATTCCCTGGTTTGAGACCCACCTTTTGAAATTCAAATTCAATCTCGCCTATATTGCCATTGGTTTTTTTTTATTATTTTTTTAAGATTTAAGATAATATTCAAGTTCAAATTTTAAAATCAGTTTTCATCATATTACATACTTTGTAATCAAGACTGTCCCATCTAACTTCTGTATATGCAAACATTTAACAATGAAGCACAATAACTACTGAAATGCGAGGGTGTTACTTAGAGGAATGTGAAATTTTTAATTAAAGAAAATGGATGGAGATCGTATTAAAAAATTGACTTTTAATGAGAATGCAATCAATGTTTAGATACGTTTCCGTACAAAATGTTCCGGCTGAACGAAATAAGTTTGTATTCATCTGAAGAACGAATTTTTGGATGTTGCTGAACAGTAGAAAACCACCTGGAGATGTGGCAGAGTTGCTCCTTTTCGTGCATGGTTGATTTTGTCTAGAAAAAAGGTTTTCAGCTTCTAATTTATTTCCTTATTCAATGCTAACCAAAATTGGATGGACAATGAAGTAAAGAATTGCATCGGCTACTGAGATCTGGTTTCCCACTAAGTAATTTACAGTCGAAAGATGGTCATTCAATTCCTGTAAATAAATCAATTATATTTTTGCCTGCGCACTGTTAATAAACAAGATCCATACCTTGAGGGATGCTGCTTGCTTATCAGCATAATTAACCACGCAAATGCAAAATTCAAGCCACTGTCGAAGTTGGGCCATCTCTTCAGCACCACAAGGGGTAAACTCATTTGGTCTCTGGCTTCTGATGATTGATTCCAGTATCGTGGCAAAACCTTTCAAGACGCTTCCGTCCTTCGACTTCAAGGTAGTCTGCAGATTAGTAAAAATTATGCATTTAGATTTAATTCCATTTAACAACAAACCTGCTCTGCCGAGCTTGACAAATTGCCAACGTTGCTAGCATTTAGAAATTTGCACGTATTTTCTATCACCGATGAATTGCAAAGAACCATTTCGCCAAAAAATTATCTTTTTCTGAAAATCAAAAATTAATTTTGGAAAATTTGATGTCTAAAAAAACTCGAAATCTCGAAATTGTTTGTGTTTCAGTTGTTCTTTTAGTGGCCTAAGGCTGAATTCTTGTTGGCTGAATCCGCTGAATTATTTTCTTTTTTTGCAGAGTAGAAATACCAACATGAAAAAATAATTATTTCTGCACGTCGGTAAATATTTCCTCTCATTTTTACGTGCCAAAAATTGTAAATAATATACTTAACGATAGTTTATTTTTAAATTGCAAAAATATTAGGAATTCTGGTTCAAAGAAATAGCCGATTTTGGAAAATAAATTCCGAAGATTGGTAGTTTAAGCTTCGCTAAACAAGCCTCGAGATGGCTCTGAGGGGGTTGTAGGCGGGAGAACTTGAGAGTGAGGCAGGCGATTTGCCCGCTCCTTATTCCCAGGCGATTTGGAATGCATGCGCGAGTGTGCTCTTCCTTTGGGAATAAAGAGCTGCTAGAACCGCTGGCTATGTTGGCGGATCCACCTCAGTTTGGCAGGAAAACTGGCACCGGCAGCAAACTCGAGCCTCCACCTCGGCACCGGCGCACGTGCACATTTCCCTTCAGCTTTCCTGTCCGTTTTCTGCAAAACCACCGCAGACACGCGACAACACGCACCGCGGCGCTTGAACACCACCTCTGCGCGTTGTAATCTCTACCTCTGTTTGTTCATTCCGATTTCATTTGAATGATGAAGTGGCAGCGGCAGCTTTGATTACTATCAGAGCAGGAATGTCCAGGAGGAAACAAGCAAAACCACGATCATTGAAAAGTAAGTTCTTTTTATAATTAATTAATTAATTTGCTTTCCTGAAATGTGCTAGTTTTATTCATGTGTACATAGTCTGGCAAAAGTGAAGAATGAAAAGTAACAATTATGTAAATTTTGAGTTTTTCTTCATACAATCAGAGGTTTCTCATTAAATTTCACCATGCATGATCAATTTCAAAAAACTAATTTGATTTGACTTTTATCCGTTCTGTTAATTGTCAGAAAACATAATTAATTTAAACAGCTCAGTGTATTCATATAAATATTATAAATAAATCAAATAAACTATGAATAATTTGATATTTATATCAAATCATTCATTTCTTTAGAAATGAAAACTGTTTTCTCAAGACTCTAAAAACGCTTTGTAAAAACAGAATCTAGGGAAAAGTTTAATCGTGATTGGAGAACTTGCCATTTTATTCACAAATATTATTGTACGTCATGTTATTGAAGAAGCGAATTTTCATATGCATGTTGTTAATTTTTATGTATTATTTAAAAATTTTATGTCCCTTTGACCAGCATGCTTGCGTATAAACTTAAAATATTTCTTATTAATCCAATATGTTATTGATTTCTATTTAAAAATTTGAATTATTAAATATAATAGCTAAAAAAAATACGAATTGAATGACAGATAGTTTCTTACTCATAATTATAAATCGTATTGAATAATTATAATAAAAGGAATTTATTCTTATTCAAAGTTCAAAATATTTGAATGGCAATTATTATTATTAATAAAATCCATTTCAATGAAACTATGATTGATAAAAATCTTGTTTTTGGTGATCTGTTGACATAAATTAAAATTACACACCTTGGGTATATCAATATTTAACTAAGAAAATTGAATAAATGTAAGTGATTTAAGGAAAATCACATAACATCAAACCTTTTTTGACGTTTCCAACTGAAGATGAAGCGTGAAATTATTTTTTCGCACTATGTACCATCTCGGAATGCGAAACTGAAACGTGTGTATACATGCCTGTCATTGGAATTGTTTTGAGAGGGTGGTTGGGAGAGAACGGGTGTGGGTGGCGCGGTGCAGATATGAGGGGATTGCAGCGAGCGATGAGGGATATTTCTTGTATTGTTATTGCTCCCAAGTCGTCCATTGAATGGCGGCGACCGCCGTGCAAAACACCATCGCCAGAAAAAGGACGTTGGACGCGCTCGCTATATGCAACCCGCGGCGCCGTCCCTGCTCTTTCGCTTTTATTTTGTTTCCGCTTTTGAAGCGCAGGAATCTGGAATAAGTGCCCTTCTGCTGATGCTTTATTTCCCTCGTTTGCGGTCAAATCATTTTTGTCCCTCTCCGCGTGCGAATTCCTCTCCCTCGCTCAATTACCGAGACGTAAAGCGCATCCTCAATCGTCCACAAAAACACGCCGATTGATTCGATTTCCGCGTTTATTTATAACGGCGGAGCATGAATCGCACGGTGTGAAATATTCACGCCTGTTGGGACTTGAACGCGTCAGCCAGTGCAAAATTTGCGCGAACCACTGGTAAATACTTTTTCACTTCAAAGCAAAATCAAAAGCTATTTTAAAATCTTTTAATACAATATTAATTTTGTCTCTTAAGAAAATTAATTTGATAATTTAAATTATCTTCTTTATTATAAAAAAATAGACTTTTTTACTTGCAATTTTTTTCTGAATTCATGAAAAAAAATTAATAGACATTACATTCAATGTTGCGACACTTCAAGGTCCTTTATTTAATTCTTATGATTACTTTCTAAATAGAAAATAAATTAAAAGTTATATTAAATAAGCGCGTTTAGAGCAAATTACGAATTTGATTTTGAAATGTAAAAATTTAAAGATTCTCTAATTACAAGTTTTTCTTCTATACCCAAAAAATAATATGGTCAGCGTTCAGCAAGAAGAAACTCGCCCAATAAAATGATCATTTACCAATCAATTACTAAATTCTTTGCCAAGTCGGCGGTTCAGTGTCGTAGTGTAAGCGTCGGGGCGTGCATACAAATAACACACATCGGGTCATGTAGCAGCGACGGTGGAGTGAGTGCCCGTAAAAGGGTTTGGCCGGCTCTCCTCCGCCTCACATACAAACGTACACATTTACCACTGTGTGTAATGCGAATGTGTCCATACCTCTCTCTCGCTCTCTCTGGTCGCTCGTCCTCCCCTAAAGCATAAATACGGTGGTCTGTGTGAGCTATATAGTTGTAGCGGCGGCCCCGGGAGGATTGTGAAATGATGTCCCTAGGTTCATGGATGCGTCTCCGGGGACATGCATGCGCCAGAAAAGGGTCGAATGTCCTCTTCGTCTTGCCACGCCAGCCGCCCAGCAGTGCGAGTTCAGCCCAACGGCGGAACGTGGTCAATAAAGTTTGTGCAATTATCGAACTCATGGCCGGGAAGATTTGCCGCAAATACAAATGGCACAATTAGGCATGATCAGTTGGTTCAAGTGCCCTCTGTTCTCGATATTTTTAATTTCATTGGAAGGTGAAACTAATTAAATGAAATTTTTATACATGAAATTGCTATTAAAATAATTCACACAAAATAGATCAATGATTTTAAATTTTAAGCAATTTCACATATTTTTATTTAAATTAAAATAAGAGCCAATATTTGTGATTTCCATTGTTTTTAAATTTTTGCGTAACATTGTTGCAACCAAGTTTAAAAAAGGTTTTTCTGAGATAAAGTAATGAAAAGAAAGAAAAACAATAATAATTAATTTGATATTTGCTTATTAATTGTAATAAATTAAACTAATTTTTTACAATACAACGAAGTCATAATTTTACAATTTTCATAAACATAATATATACTATTTGACAGTGATTGACAATTTTATTTATTTTGTTAACCAAAAAATGGGAAAAAATTCAAATAATAATAATCGCACAAGTATAAAAATTTGATCAATTTTAATTATGGCACCTTTCACACAGACTAGAATTCTGTAAATTTCCACTCTGGCCAGCTCATCATTCGAGTGTCAGTGAGGGCGCCGGGGGTGCAAATAAAGTGTCAAAGCGAGCGGTCAAAAATTGAAATAGCACAAAATAGTGACGGATAGGAAATCGATGGTGCAGCAACTAGCTCTAGCTGGCTGCTGTCGCGCATTTGCATCGCACGTACATTCCTGATGAGGACGATACGAGCAGCATGTGCTACAACAATAATACACACACAATATCACAGAGGTATTGTGTGGCCGCGCGCGAGTGAGCGAGCGAGCGACAGAGAGAGTCCATAATATAATAGTACAGCATGTAGACCGATGGGATTATGATTTATATCGAGCACACGCCAGCCCCCGGGGACACGGAGCGAACATCACATAATGCCGCTGGCTGGCCGCTCGCTCGCTCTCCACCGGCCTATCCATATTGTCTGTCCGCCGTGATGGCCTGCACTGTTGAATATGTGACGTTTTACTAATAGCGCCTCATCACTTAACTCGCGCTGCTGCTTTACTAATTGCACCTATCTATGCGCTGCTGCAACACACACGGTGCGTCCGTCCATATGCCCCGGTGCTATCTGTCGCTTTGCGGTCGGCCGCCCTTCGGTGAAAAATTGCACACGCCGAGAGGTGTTGCGAATCTGTGCCAGCCCGCCGTGATCACACATATGCCCGCTGATCGCAGTGGTGCGGTCACGCTGGTGGATGCTGCGAGAGTGGTACTGGCCATTTCGACGGAAAATGGCCAAAGGGTCCTCATCAATTCAAAATAAATAGGCCTTGAACACTCGTATTTGTTGTATTTGATGTTTTCCTGCTATATCATATTAGTCTCATGGATGGGCTACAGGTTTCTTTATACCTGCTATCAAGGGTGCATTATTTAAATTTTACAAAATGTCCAGGCCAGAAGACTTGGGTTAAAAATAAATTACAGTGGTAATTATGTGAAACATATTTACTGATTACTCCTCTAAATAGTTATATAGATATAAATTAATAAAATTGTTAGTTCAGTTCTTGTGCAATTTAAATTAATAAATTGAGATTGTAAATAATAATCTATTATAACTTAATTTTTAAAGAAGAGAAATATTTTTTAGTTTTTCAATCATTAACTAAATTATTTAAATTTTTTGGATTGTTTCTATTTTACAAATAATATATGATTTCTACCATTACTTCTTCTTTCTTGGTGATTTGAATTTAAAGTTGGCTTTTCCAAGAATAAACATCTCACCACACCCAGCATTGAGGAGAAGCCGAATTTAAATTAAAATCACCATGAATCGACCCTCGGTTGTGAAATTCTACTACAAAATTATTCTGATCCTTTTATTTTATTTCTTATTTTTTTATTTTAATAATCAACATGCGTGGTGATGTTTTCTAATGATTAAAAAGTGTTAATACGATTCTTATATGTGTATCCTCTGTTTATCAATCTGATATAAGTGTGAATGAGGGTACAAATTAGCAAGTGCGTGGTGCGGGTTAAGTGATTTTGATGCACTCGCTTTCTTGGTGGCAGACGTTGCCGCCGAGATAGCGTAGGGCCAGGTCGCAGGTCAAGTGATGTTTACTCCTAGTGTTTGATTGGTTTGCAGGAGACGAGGAAGAGGATGAAACGGAGCAAGGCGTGGTGGTGCACGCAGACGACAAAGACGGCTTCCGGCAGTCGCAACCTCCGCAAACACCCACTGGTGAGTGAATTTATTTACTTTTGGATTTAAATGCTCGTTTGAACGAGCTGAATTATTTTAAGCGATAAAATTGTCTCTATATAAAAAAATTCATGTATAAGGTACTTCTTTAAATTCAAAGTTGGCGTAGATGTAAATTAGATATAGCGGTGGTGAATGGAGCTTTTTCTTATACAGGCTAACTGAACCTTTTGCCCTTTCCACTAAAACATCTAGCCATGAGTTTTGCACCATTCGTGCATAATTGAACAAGCTCTTAGTTAGCTGGGCATCTTGAAAAGTGTCTGATAGCTGGGTAAACATCTATGTACAAGCTAATAGGGGATCACGGCAAGTACTAGGCCTCGCCACTTGTGCGTAAGAAGCCGTGGACCGCTAATACAAAGTGGGTGCACATCGGCGCAAGCTCCTTAATGCAAAATCTTTCTAAAAGTTAATATCCTTCTTAGCGTCCATTATACAAAGAAAGGGCCCGTCGTCTCCTCTGAGACGTCTTGCGCTTAAACTCACAGGCGCACACTTTCGCCAAGAAATGGACGGTGCGGCGCTGTGGCGGACAGGTTTCAAGTTTGCTGTAAGCCTCTCACGGTGATGGCAAAATAGAATTTTGATAAAAAGGGGAATGTAAAATATTTTTATATAACATAAGGTAAATATGAATATAAAATGAGAATACAAAAAGCATTGAAAAGAAATGAAAATAAGTACCGTGTTAATTTTTAGCATAATTAACGTATCTTTGAAAAAAATACAGTTGCCCATTATTTAATTAAATAAAACTGGTAATTTAGTTTCAGTTTCAATATGCCGTTGGGTATTTTCAACAAAAGACCCAAGTACAATATTATTCAAAATAAATTTGATCAAAACAAAGGGAGCAAAAAAATAAACGCCTCTATAAAAATTTGTATTTGAAAGAAGAGCAAAAAAATCACCCTAAATTAATTAAATAAATTACAATTCATTTGACATTATTGCAATTTTCTGTGGTAATTGAAGCACGTGTGTTTTGAAACACGGCTGATCCAGAAATACTCAAAGGGCAGGGCACCTAGATCACCAACAAAATAAGTTATGAGGCAACACTAGCTAAACAGGGAGTGCCTCTCAATTAATTGACCCTGAAAGGTTAACCAAGGAGGTCAATTGGGGTGCAACCTGATTGCGTGAATTGCTGAGGCACGGATAAATTTTTTATTCCCGAGTTGATGCGGCGGCGGCGGTCGCCGACGCAAAACACACTCTGGCACACTCGTTGGCTCCTGGGGTGACCAAAGAGGTGGCCCAGAATCATTAGTCAGGGTGGCAGTCGCAGCTTTATCACCTCCGCAGACGCCATTAGTTAGTGCCCGCTCTCCATTATTCGCGCATTTGTATCTCGGCCGGGCGCGGTCCGCCGAGGGAAATAGATTTGTTCATCTTTAATGACAACCGCACGCCGCAAACTGGTCATATTGCACGGCAGAAACTTTGCTGTGCAGTTGACCTGAGCCATTTGCAATTCAACTCTATACGTCTACATTGGAAATGAGGAAGCCAGTTTGACCCATAAATTAAATTTTAAAGGAAATTTTGAATTAATTATTTATTATTCCTGGATAGGGTATATATATATATATTTTAAATCTAAAATTAGCTTAGCAGTGCAATTATTTTTTTTGTTTGCGTGTGTCAGGTTGTGGGGTCACTAACCCTAAAGCACCCCATAGTGTGGTGACACGGATCCCACAATATCAGTTTACCGTGTCTATCTGTCCGCTGTGAGCACAATGGTGGACACATAATTAGGGGCTAACAATGCGGTTTCTGATCCCTGTGTTCTCAGGCCACGGAGACGGCGACGACGACTCTCCTGCCACTGCGTCAACAATAAACAACACGCTGAATTGTCATCAACACCACGAATGGCAGTCAAGAACAGCAGAGGATGATCCTGGCGAAGAGCTTGATGACGAGAATGCAGCTTCAAATTCGATTCTTGCAAATGAGGGTAAGGCTTGATTTCCTATAAAAACTTAATTACCGCACAGAAATTTTTTCCACAAAAAAGAAAGAACGAAAGCCTCAGAGAAAAGCGGCGTCATTTGCTGTAAAAAATTAAATTTGTTGACACTCCCGTGCAAATGAAGTTGGGACTCTTTGCAAAATGTTGTGCGACCGCAAGGTGAAATTACACTGGGATTAATAGTTGAAATTTTTATTATTCAGTTCTCGCGACGCGGGAGCGACGAGGATTGTATTATAACCTCATTAAAAATGCATCCGCTTTGCACGCCCACGGAATTAAACAACTCGTTTCAGTTAACTTAATTTTTTAGCCGGGGCCAGTGCGCGAATTTTTACCAAGAGCAAATCTGTTTCCTTCATTTCCCAGGTCTCTCGCTTTGCCGGGGCGCTCCCTCAAGCGCGCCGAATTTATAAACAGCAACCCTTTGGCCCGCAAATTTCATTAGAATTTTTTAGTTTCGGCGCCCGTCCGTCCGCCTACCCACCCGCCTGTGCGGCTGGGAATAAATATTTACGCACGCTAAGGCTGAAAAAAGAAGAGACCTTATCGAGTTTACTTGGGCCGATAAGCCTGGCTGATGCTCTCCGGAGACCTAATAGGATATCTCATCTGCTCGCCTCCCAATTTTCCGTGTGTGACCATCCACCCCCTGCTACTGCCTGCGCCTCCATTCGGAGAGGTAAACGTGCGTTTCTTCGCAGCATTAACTTTATTCTGACTCTCTCGGAAAAGAGGCCTGCCGTTTCAGCCAGGCAAATATATGCCATAATGCCGCAATGAGATGCCACTAATGGCAGACTTTTATGCGTCCCCGTGTAATTGAGGACGCTCTGCGGCCCGCCTTTTTTTCTTTAATTGGAATTTTTAACTTGCAAGTCCACCGCAGAGAGCGAAAGGAAACCTCTGATGTTTCCAGAAGGGAATAAGGAGAAGTTAAAATAGTAAAGTACTTTTGGAAATGTTTAAGTTTAAAGCTAGAGCTTGAAAACGTGGAAATTATTTGCATTGTTTTTATTATTCAGAACTACTTTGAAGCAAGAAATAATAATAAATAAAAAAAATATTAAAATTTGCCTCATAATACATGCAAATTTCACCAATACAAAAATAGAGTTTACAAGGTAAATTAGCGTCATCAGCTGATTTGGATTTGTTCATTGGTGTCAGCAGTTGAGAACTATATCAACTATATAAATGAAAATTATTTTATCCCATTTTCTGGCTAGAATTTGCACTTCATTAATGTAGGCAATGCAAGAGTTTGGCAATAAATTTAATATTTTTGCGTGCTACAATAAATAATCAACTTATGAGATTTTGCCAGTAACGTTCCGCGGTCCCTGAAGGTGGAAAGTTGAAGCGCTCTCTCTCACTCTGTCAGTTTCAGAGCAGCGAGCGGCGCGGAACAGCGCCGGGAGAGAAAGTGGAGAACGCGCGCGCGGTGTTTCATCTTTATTTTTATGCCTGGCAACTCTCGAGGGCCATCCACGGACAAAACAAATTAGAGTAATAACGTGTAAGAGAGCCGGGAACAGTGCAACTTATTAACTGACGAATTACTAATGTCTATCCGCCGAGGATTTGCTGTTGGGGCATTAAGCGGGAGGAAAGGGATTCCATTTTTGACGACGCCACTCTCAGCTTTGTTTCACCCTTCCGCTTTTTACCACATACATACATGCTCACAACATTCAAATATGCAAAAACTAACGCAATATAAATTTTTAAAAGAAAAACATGCTTTCTAAGAATTCCTTGATTTAAACAAACATCTGCATCTCACTGTGGGCTACTTATTGCTAGTTTTACATTAGGCTTCAAAAAAATGTTTTAAAATAAAAATTTTATAATGTTTTTTAATACTTCACTTTTTGTATATCGTTTCAATTTTGAATTAATTTAATTATTTGTACTCTGCAATATTAAAATTCATCTTTTATGTCTTAATCAGTCAAATTTTTTTATCTGAAAAGTCAATTTTTGCTAGCTATATCTCTATTTGTCAAAGAACTGCCTTCGAATCCAAGTTCCAAATTGGTTTTCATTTTTTCATTCCAAATGGGAATTAGCAAAAACGCACGTACTCGAACAGAGGAAGCCACTGAGCAGCACTCGAGCAGGCGGGAATCAGCAATTTATATTCCTGCTGAGCGTTGTGATTTTGTTTTGTTTGATAGCAGGCCAGCGGCACGCTCATTAGCCCTCTCTCGCAGCGACGCTGCTGATACCTGTGTGTAACACGTACAGTGAGCGAGCAATGCAAAATCTACATATACGTCATGGTAGAGCACGGGGCGATCCTGTACCGTTTTTCTCTGTGCCAGAGAGAGTGAGAGTGTATTTCATGCTGAGCGTACTGCAGGGAATAAGTGCGGCATTAATCACACGCCACTTTAAAACCAACCGAGCACCTCGGGCAAGTGCGGGACGCGCAGATAAAAATTAACTCGGTTACTTGAAGACAAATTTTGTCATTCTCATACCAACTAGCTAGTTTTTTGTGTCCCTCGAGACACAGGACGGACGGATTGGCCTCTTTTGTGGCGTTGCCAAATGGCTGGTTACGCCATCAAGATAAAAGCAGCGTTACTAAATATAATTGAGATTTTCAAATGAGCCTGACCTGACTCCGCTGGTGGCTACAAGAGTCCAGAATCACGAGTCGGTCTTACTTAATTTAATTGAAAAAAAAATGGAGATCGTCAGATCGTAAATAAAATGGTACAATAAAAGATGAAGTCACTATTTTCAGAATCATCAACACATTTTCCCCCACAATGAATTAAAAGTAGCAATATAATATTTATAATTTTTTTAACGTCACACCTAACTGTTATAAGATAAATAATAAATTTGTCAATAGATTTTAAAATAAATTTCATCTGATTCTATTGTGTAATTTTCAATTGTAATTTTTTATAATTAATTAGGAAAGTAGCGGAAAGTAGAATATTATAGATGTATGATACCTGTATGATACAGGTTGACATTTAGAGTGGATTAATAGAATTTCTCGTATTATGAGCTATTTTTTATTTTAAACAACTTTTATAAAAAAAAGATGTTAGCCACTATTAGTTATTTGCTCTGTATTATATCTTCATTTGCATCCAGTTTCATATTTTTTATTAATGTGAAAGTACAGTGATAAATTTAATGTTAGTGTATGTAAGGCAAATAAACAATAGATCACTGCCATTAGCGTGCCCTGCCGCGCGCTCACTAATAAATCAGCTGGCGCAAAGTGCCATGACAAAACTAACGCCAGTGCGCTTGGCCGCCTAGGTAATTGAAAGGTTGTAAATTAAATATAGTAATAATAAACGCGTGTGCGGCGCATGCAGTCGTGTCCGTGAATCGATTTGCAATATAATTGAGGAGGAGCGCCGCCGCCGCCGCGTGCAGGAATCGACATTATTCGGAGGCCACACAGCACCAGAGCGTGCCGAGAGAGAGAGAGAGAGGCTGTTCTGCCACACTGCAGCCAGGCAGGCAGCCGCCAGAGCGGGCGAGCCAGCCAGCACAGGCAGCATTAGCAAGGGAGGAGGGCTGCGATGGTGCCGGTCCTTTGGGACTCGGTCGCTCCCCAACCCACACCGCCAGCCCATTCAACTCCCGCGAGACTGCCTCCGCATTATTTCTCTTGCTCTCGCAGTATAGCACCTTCCCAGGGGATAAAAGTATACCTAAATTCATGCCGTGCACCAGTGACGTCAGATGAGACATAAATACGCCACTGGTGTGCCACTCGGTCGGTTTGTTCTCTACCTGTGCGATTGGACCCTGCCCCCGTCCTCCCCCTCGACTCGACGCTCGGATTATTTATTCAATATTTTCCCTATTCGACACGCGATTATCCTTCCACGAGCAGATAAAACGTGTCAACATATTTTTTTGGCGAGGGTTGATATAGATTGAATCCATTGACTCGGAAAGGTCATATAAGATCTAAAAACTCAAGAAATCTAAAAGGCCAAAAAATATGAGAAGTTATCTCGATTATGATTTTTATTTAAATAGTTTGTCGCTTTCAAGTCTTCCAGGTTTCTTCGATTAATTGTAAAGAAAACAAATTCAATATTAACTCATTATTTTAACTATACGTTCCAGTATTATTGTATTGATACTTCTTGCCAGTGAAAATATTATTTTTTAAATTATGAAACTATATTAATAAAAGTTTACAAAAAGCAAAATTCCACGCAAAATTTTTGAAAACAATATAAGCGAGTTGCAAACTAAAAAAAGTTTCGCCTTAGAAATTGTCTGCTCCCGTTCTTCTTTTTCTTCTCATCTCAAGGAGAGGAATAACCGAAAAAAAATTACCCTCAAAATGACAGGCCGCTGGTCATTTAGCCAAAAGCTAGACGTCTGCTCACACTTATCAGGGAAGGATGGTTGGATTTTAAAGGGCGGCAGACAGAAAAAACTTATTTTTCCAAAAAAGAAAGAAAAGCAGGAAAGAAAGGGATGCACAGAGAAGAAACAGCGGAGGAGCGCTGGAGGAGGAAGGCGTTTGCAAATGAGATGACTGTAGAGAGAGAGAAGAGAGAGAGAGAGAGAGAGAGACGTACTGCTGGCTGCATATTTCCCAAGAGATTCCCGGGGCGCCTCTTTCCACTCAACTCCTCGCGCTCTTTTCTCCCTCACTTACACCCTTGGGAATTCCCTTGGCGTTCTGATTAGTTCGGCTCCCAAAGGTACGCCCCCACTCCCGTTACCTTATTCTGCTGTGTGCGATGTTAATTCCAGCACACGCTCTCTCTCTCTCTTGCTTGCTCCTCGATGTAATCATGTTGCTGCCGCCGGATGGCTAATATAATTCGCCCTGCGCCCCGTAATGAGCTCTATTTATAAATGGAGAACACGGGGCGTAAAAATGAATAAAGAACTTTATTCCTTCCTAATCCCGACTTGAATATCAAATGAGCTCAGCTGGCCACCCTTCCTTCTCTACATCATTTAGGTGTTTCATTGAAAACCAGCAAATTGGAAATTTTCAATTTTAGATATCCGCATTTCAGAATTATAATTAAAAAAATCGGGCTTTATCATTTACTGGTTTTTGTTTCTTCAACTAATAAGAGATTAAGGTAACATTAACTCTCAAGCATATGAACATAATTTAATTATTTTTGTGGTAGAATTTCAATATCGAGGGTTGATTCATGGTGATATGAATTTAAAGTCGGCTTTTTTGCCGATGTTTTTTTTTTCAAATTCATATTGTAAAATTTTTGTGTTAAAAATTGTTTTGTGTAAAAATGTAACGTATGAATAATTTTTCACGAAAAAATGTTAATTTGAGAGGAAAATATTAAAAAAAAAATTAGTTTTTTTTTCTAATTCTTGTTAAAATGCTTTCACAGCTCATGAATTATGGCTGAAGCCCACAGCCAAAACATGTAGAACATGATTTTTTTTTTCTTAAACAATAAACCCAATAAAAAACTCACAAAACCCTTCGAAGAAAAGCAAACTTTAAATTCAAATCACCTTTAATTATTTTATTCCAAAACTCTCCATTCTGCAAATTTAAGTCAAGTTTCCTTATTTTTTTTTTTTTTTTTAAATTAATGATTACGTATTTTTCTTTTTCTTTTAACATTAACTTATACATGTCATGCAAGTGCAAAATTCCCTCTTCAAACCATGCTTGTTTTTATTTTTTAGACTTCTCGCTGTGCGTCGATGCGTCGCAGGTTGCCTAACCCGTCCCCTTTATTCTCATCCACGCTCTTCGGTGATTTCATTCTTGCTCTGCGTCGTGGTGCGTGCGGAGACCACTCTCACCGGATCAAATCTTAAAACGGGCGTTTAATTTGGGAATTCATCAAAGGTGCCGCCACTCCCGCGAGTGCGGCGGCTGATTTGCATGGTTGTGTGTGCAGCCCTTTCATCTCTCGGCGAGGCGGACGCTTCGTTTCGCGCCGTACAATAAAGCATTTCTATCTCTCAGCCTCGCTCCCCTGCCGATTGAGATGAAAATATCACGCGCTCTCCTCCTCAGGAGTTAACTAATTCTATCAATAGGAAAGGTGAGAGTGGCTCATTCCCTCGCAGGAGCCAGCCTGGCGGTTCGGCGTGTTTTTGGAGAAACAAGCAGCCGCTCTCGCCGCGTCCCTCGAGGTTCGCAGTTTTTGTTTCAACTTTTTATTACGTGTGATGCCGTGTCCACTGAGGAATGGCGCCGAATACATACTTTAGCACCGGCGATAAAGCAGCTCTCTCTCAGGTCACAATTTGCCACTGCCTGCTTTTGACGAGTTCTCTCACTCACTGCGGCTTAATTAAAAATGAAATCAACATTTTTTTCTGTTTTAGCTGGAGTTTTATTTTGAAACATTCTGAAAATCTTGTAAATATTGATAAAAAGCGTTGAAAATAAAAGTCGATTCTTAGGCTCAGACCTCATTTTGAGTTGGCGCGTGTTTTCTCCTCAAGAAGCGGAGAATGTAAAATTTATGGGTGCCTGCAGGAGGCCAACTTTGTCCCTGAAGTCATTAGCAGTTTGGTCCCAGCAGCCAGTGTGTCATAGCTCATGCACTTGAAGGTGGATGAGGTGAAAGACGACGACGAGAGCGGGGCCTCTTTCCCTCAAGACGCCGGCATCCGCCGAGAGAAAGAAGACTCGCCCTCTCCGCCCTGTCGTCTTTCTGCAAAAATTTCTCCGCGCTCTGACTCGAGGTCCCGAGGGAGCTCGAGCAAGTTGGCACAAAATTAATGTCTCGAGGTGAAACATTTTCTATATCGCTTGCAAAATTTATACACGCTGCTCTCTTACACTCTCGCGGCAAGGCAATGGCGGCGCTGGGTAATAAAACTTGAAATAATAAGCGTCGTCGCAGTAATTTCTCGTCAGAATATTTTTCCCAGAGCTGGCGTTCTAATGACACCCGCAACGCAATCATAATGAAACATTAAGAAAATTATAAATACAAATAAATAGAAAGTGATAAGCAATACCTTTTTTACTGTTGAAAATTTAGTTTTTATTACAAAACAAATGGCTTACGTATATGAATTTGCAGTTTTGAGATTTCATTGTTTATTATTATTATTATTTTTTTTTTTGCTCATGATTCAACTGGTAGAGCCATTTATTTTTGAATAAAATAAAATTTTCTACTTGGATAAATGCCTGTTTTACTTCACTTCCATGAATGGCTACTCAAGTGCCAACATATCTTCAAAATATAAATTTATTATGTACACAAATTTGAATTATTTAATGGCAAAAAAATGTAGTTGTGAATAGTTATTAAATTGGATTTTAAATTAAAAACAAATGCGTTAAGATTTAAGATCTTATTTTCAAAATTGTTGCAGATGCTGATGAGTTTTACCGGAGGCGCGTAGGCGGCGGCTCGTCTGGCGGCCCAGCCCTCGACGACCTGGATCACAACAGTCTCGACTCTGGTGAGTACAGAACTGTCACCCTTTCCCTTTGCTCGGTCCGTGAGGATTGGCTTAAAAATTCGTCCTTAATGGCCAAGTTGGGCCAGGCGTTAATTTTAAATGGGCTTTGTTAAGTTTCGACTGTCCGGCTAGTGGAAGGGTGCTGCCAAAAATTAGCACTCGGACATCGCTTTTCACTTTATCCAATTTGGCGCTCAGAGCTGGATGTGTCAGGGGAGGGTGACGAGAGAATAAAGGTATTTCGGCGAGAATAATTAAGACAGACCCTGCTCCTGTGACAGAGAACCCGGGTGGCATCAGGCGGGCGAAAAGTCGCTCCTTGAGAGACAGCGCAAGCAGCAGAAGGGTCAAACATGAAATATTCACCGCATGGCTTGCTTACTTGTCTCCGGCCATAATAATTCAGGCCAACCCTCGCGGGGAAGTGGCCAAGGCGCCGGGGACCGCCTGACGAGCGTAATTGAAATTTATCACTTCGGACTGCTGACTGACTGTTTCGTGCGTGTCCTCTCTAAGTGAAAATCACTCGCCCCCGTCACAGTCTCTCTCTTCTTCCGTTTAACCAAATGCCCTAGCTGTTTATTTCCCGACACTTTCCCTGTCTCTCACCGAGCCCGTTTGTTTTTTGCACCCTTGCGGGCTGAAAAAGTGAAACACTTGGACTGTCCGTTTTGCCGCCATGGGAGTTCATCTGCCCTCCTTTCATACTTTTGAGCGACCAGCGGCTCGAAAAACGCAACGCTTTTAAATAATTCAAACTACTTCATCCTCAAATCTTCAAAATATGGTTTGTAACGCGTTTGAATGAATCTAAATTGTTTAAAGTTTTATAGAGATCACGTTATATTCCGTTGAAATTTCGAATTGCTTCTCCATAATTTAAATTTTGCATTAAAATGATATTAAAAACAAATATTATGTACCAAATTGAGCAGAAGTAGTATATATCACATTTTTGATGCGTAATAAAACTTTTATAAAGAATAAAAAATATTTTTTTCATGCTGCCAGCTAGCACTGATAATGATAATAGACCTGTTATTTGCTGCATAAAGGTATTTTAAACATCATATAGAAAAGATTATTTGCAAACTTCTAAAGCGCTATTTGTTCAAAGTGTGAATTTTCAATTTCTTTCTGAAGAACTTTCAAATATCTCATTGTCATTCCATTTTAATCTTTACATAAATAAAATTAAAATAATTATTCAGATGATCACCGTCTACAATTTATATTTCCATATGAAAATTTTACAAATATAGCATGTATGCCACAGTGGTTTAAAATAAAATCAAATTATAAATTTCTAATTTTATAAATTTTAAAATTTTCCTGTCAAGATCTCATTTTTTTTATTTAATCTAATTTTATTGTGATTAAAAGTAAAAATAAATAATAATTATTTATATAAACTTCAGCTAAACAAGAAAAAAAAAATTCCAACATAATTTTGTGTTGAAAAGTTTAATTTTTTGTAACTTATAATTTTTATGTAACTTTTACGTAACCCCACACTAAGTAAGAAGAAATTAGAAATTATTGATCTTCTCATGTTATTTGTCGTTTAAAATACAAATAATTTGAACGATAATTTTACAAAAATTATTAAAATAGCTTTTGTTAAAATGTGATCAGTTTACATCTTTGGTTGCTTTGCAAAAATAAAGTTTGATTTAAGACTGTATGTTGTACGTTGACGCCGTCCATGTTAACCAGTTGATTAATTCAAGAGGAAGAAAACAAATCAAGTTTTGCTCCAAAGCCAGTTTGTTCCTTAAGGGGGATTTCTTAACAAAAAGTTTCACAGTCGAGTGGTCAAGCCTACTTAACAACCGCAAGGCCGCTCCCTTGAAAGCGCTAACCCTTCCTCCTCACTCATCACTTTGCGGTGAGATGGATTGGCTGCTCTCTTGGATGCATTTTTTCGCGCTACCGCTGCTCAAGACGTGTCGATTTATAATTCATGGGCCAAGACGCTCAAACTACAATTTATAAGCCGTGGTGCGCGGCGGCGGCTGCTGTCTCTCCATTATGTATTATTATTAGCTCAAGTATTAAGAACCGCGAAGAGGCTGCAGCGCCGCCAGCTTTTGATAAATATACACAGCTTGGAGTGGGGTGGGTGCATGAGTGTAATCAGCTCTCGAGCTTGTCTTTATGAATTTATCATGCCGCTCGCAGTTACGCCTCGGCTCAACGTCGTCTTCTTGTAAACGCTGATGGACTAAACTTTATGCTGGGCCTCGCTATGTACACGTTCACTTGCTTTTGTTACATAATGTACATAATGCGGCTAAAACATGTCTCGCATCTCGTCACACTTGGTTGGCAAATTTGCTGGTGACAAGGGGTGCTCTGTCATCAAGGTAGTGCACGGTCACTCAATCCATAAATTATTTGTTAAAACAATGTTCATAATAAGTAGTCAAAAGAAGCATTAAATTGGCAAATAAAGATATTTTTAACCTCCAATTATTTAATTTAATAGAATAAATAACAATCTTCTGTACTTTTAAAATTTTAAAAATAGTAGACATTAAAATATATTACAGAAAAAGATAATCTCTTCAGCAAAGTAAGCAACTATTTTGGTAATTATTTTAAATTAAAAATTGGTGAAGGAAGTTCAAATATTTGTACTTAATAATTTTGGGTGAATACTGTTTGAAAAGGTAGTTTCTGACAAAGTAGCTGTTTTATTGCGAAATCAGGTGCATATCACAATTTTTAAAGCAATCTGATTCCGCATGAAAACTAATTTACATACAACCGTAGATTCATACTTTGTTTAGCTGTATAGCTTTATCGTTTGCTCCTAACCACTCCTAACCATAGCCTATTTTTGATATCAAAATTTAGATAGTTAAATAGTTATTTATTAATAAACTTCTTTCAAAAATCATTTAATTATTTAAACTTCTTTATCAATCAAAAATAAACTAAATAAATATTCTCTACCTCTCTATGCAACTGGATCATCTCCTGAGCTGAGCGGGTTGCATATCACTTTGTTTGCCTCGCGAGTTCCTCCGCCGAGACCGCGTCTGCTGCAATCGTCTTGCTCGCAGACTCGCAGTAAGACACAAATTACTGAGTTATCAGGCGCGCACGACAGGTAATTAAGGGATTAGATCGGGCCTGAAAACAATAGTGCGTTCATATAGTTTGTGCGAGACAACTGGCAAGGTGCGTTTTGAGTGACGGGGCGAGGGAAGAGAAAGACGGGCGGGCGGGCGGGGGCGCACATTATGTGTCGCATTACTAACAAGTGTTTGCTAGATTTATTACGCTGTTGTGACACACCGCCGAGCGCGCGAGTTCAACTTCTTGTCATGTTCTTAATAAGAAAGGAGCATCGTGAACTTCTTGTTTTGCGGAGACCTTGGTACTGTACTGTTGTAAGCTAGCGACGAGCCAACGTAGCGGAGCAGCGTTCCTCTAATTAGCCTTAATGGAGATGTTTTGGTTGTATTGCCGCCGCTTCTGTCTTTCTCTACTTACTCGAACAATAAGCCTAAGTTTGCTCCGACACACTCATTTTCTCCATTATATTCAGAATTAAAAGAATGTCATTAGTTTTCTTATTCAGATAAGTGCTCAAGAATTAAACACTATTGTTCGTTTAATCATTTTCTTTATTTAATGTGTTTGCTCGCATTATTTATTATGAAAAAAATATTCTTCATTGTTCTCTGTCATAATTCTTAAAGAAATCGCTGATAAAAGATTACACTTTTATATTCAAAGTTGTTGAAGAAATTATTTAATTAAATGGAATAAATGAAAATATGAAATTTTATTTAAACAAATCTCTATAAACACTTTTTTAAATAAACGGATATATTTAATTTTATAAATATTTTAAAGCTTATTAAAATAAGATTTAATAAAATTAGCTTGCTATGGAATGAAATAATTATTATTTAACCAAATGATAAATAATGTTGCTATGTAAATGCTTATTCATTAAATTTGTATATTAATATTTTTTATTGCCAAATTTTAATACAAGTTGAGGGTTTTTCTGATTTCCACACAAGGTTTTCAAAGCACCCATTGCTTTTGGAAATTAGCCATAAGCTGAAAGGGACTTTTGTTCGCCGCAGCAAATTTATTGAATTAGTTTTAAAAGAGACCGAAAGTATTCTCATTAAGTGCAGCAGAAGGCAAAAAATTATGAGGGGCATTTTATTCACTCTCGGGGCGCCGGAGAAAAGGAGAAACCGAGGTATTATGCGTGAGAGAAAGAGAACTGCAGGCGAACTTTCGTCCCCGGGCTGTTTAAAGTTTTGGCTGTTTTTATTAGTCTAATTACGGGCGCTATTCATCAAATTGGCAAAACGAGCGCGCGCGGCCGCTTTTATTCGCGGCGTGCATGAATTAGCGCCGAGTTCTGGCGCTGCGAGTTAGATGGCAGGCCCAGTGTTTATAGAGCCCACCGGGGACTGCTGATCAAATATCTACCCAAATGAGCCGCTATTAACCCTACAGGGATGCAGCGCATGGGGGCCAAAATATGTGCAGCCAAGGCAAACCCCTAAACCCCCGCTATAGTTCTGCTCCCTCTGCTTCACGATATTATGAATAGGCAATATTAAGAATTATTAAAAAAGCACCTTTCTATATTATGCTCTCATTGTCAATCAAAAGAGTGGAAAAATTAATATAATTGAATTAAATGTTTCTCCTAATTCAAAATGTATAATAATATATGTGCAATAATTAGTTGAACTAAAGATTAAAATTATTAATTTGGTTGGAGTTTTATCTTTTTTCCAATCAAATTTTGTGTGTAAGTATAAGGAATTTAAAATAAATGTTGGCTTGTAACACCGTAGATTCTGTTATGTAAGATTTTTTCAAGATTTTTTTAAACCTATTATCCGTTATTTTCCATAATTTGTTCTGAAATGAAATAACAAATCAATAATTATTTACTTCATTGAATTTGTTTTCAGAACGTTTAGTTGATTTGATGGTGATGGATTAAAAAAAGTTAA